AACAAAATGCTAATTTCTCACCACTGACAGTGTTTAGGGCCTAAAAAGTTGTTCCATTATGATCCCTCTGTTGAGTTGATGAGAGCAGTAGGTTACTAACTCTGCCTTGGTTTTTTTTGATTTCCCAAATATTCTTTGGCTCTGAGTTGGGTACATCACAGTGACATTCATGAGCAAGATGAGTCCTCAGGTCACTTTTCTGATTCTTCTTACTGACATAAATCCATGTTCTGTGGCACCAAACACAATCAAGGAAGTTATTGAAAGGAGACAGTATCTTAAGAAAGCACACCTCACATTTGTTCCAGTGTGTTTTCCTTGTACCAGTGGAATTATTTTTCCTTCTAAATACTGCATAGAATTTCACCTGAAATAGTCTGAATACTTTCTTTTTCATTTGAGTCAAAAGTCATCAGTCCATCCCAGAATAAAATCTATTAAACAGCATCCACTGTCCATATGCTGCTCTGAAAAAACTTTTATAGCTTTTATTTTCTTTCTCCTCTTATGTAATACCAGTGTAATATACATTCACCTCAAAACCACATAGGGAAGACAGGAAAGAGGAGAAAGGTGCAAGGGCTTTCCAACAACAAACCTCACTCTGGGAGCAGCCGTCCCACCATATGCATCAGAGCCCCAGCATGCAGACCTATACTGCCCAGTCTACACCCAAGGTGATGGACTGGTTTGGACCTGAAGTACAAAATCCTCTTGAGAAACCATACATTTCCTTCAACTGCCAAATGTCTACTGTGCTCTTGAGAGACAATTAAATGAACCACTACAGTAACAAGCACTGAGAAGAGCATCATCTCTGGGGCTGCACATGCACCCACAGGAAAACTTGCCCAGTGCTGGCAGCCTTAAACACCATGGAGGGAGGTGGGAAGGACAAAGGCTGGGCCACAGCTTGCTTTCTCCTCTGCTCAGTATTTGGAACAATAAGTACGGTCAAATAAAACAATTCTGATGAACTGCTGGTCTTGGGGGCCTTTCTGGAGATGCAGCCACTGCTTCATACCTTCATACCATCCCAGTTCTCTTTCACTTGACCCTATGCACCAGAAGACCCTGTGTTCATCCAGCAGCCAGGTCCTTCCTAAAGCATGAAAAGGCCCAGGAATGCTAGGTCATTCAACACAAACTGGGGAAGGCTTCCTGCTAGGGATCAAAAAGTGTTCACCTGGAGCCTCCATAATTTGGTTTGAGCTGTGGCTGAAATGGGGGCAGTGTCTACAACCCACCTCCTTCCCCCTGTCCATCTGATCTACTCTTGATCCAAAGCAGTTTCTAACCAGGCTGGACCCCTGACTACCCGCACTGTGGGCTGCAGTCAGTTTAGGAAAATCAGAAGGTGGAGCTCCACTGTCACATATGCAAAATGGTGCCCGGCTGCAGGATCGGCATCACTGCCCCTGGGTTTTGGAGTTCACCCATGTGCCTCCTCCATTGCTCACCAGACAGCTTGCCTGAGCACCTGCCAAGGCACACAGGTGGGAAGGAGATCCAATAATGTTTTGAGAGGATCTGTTGTTTACTTCAGAAAGGAGGAGAACATTATTTGCTCTCTGTGCTTAATTTACACTATCATACCCACTGTGGGTGGTTTCTTTCTGTTTTTATAAATAAAACTGTAGAGACATTTTTGCCCCTCCAAAAGGTAAATATTTTCTGTTCTTGCATGTTGCATGTTGCTTGCATAAGAAACTCATAAAGGTTCAGATGTTGTTGGCATCCTCCATGAGATGTCTTGTGAGAGCTTTGGTCTGTGTTGCATTATATAGCAATGAGAAGCTGTGTCTTATGCAAAGGAGTGTTCCTGTTGACTCCTAGTCACAGAAAGGTCTTTTACTGTTTTAACTGTTTTTTCTTCTTCTCTTCATTTCTTTCTATCATCTGCTCCTGCATCACTTACCTTTTTATCAGAGCTCATTTCTGTAATAAAATAAAAGTTATCTAGATGATCTACAGTCCAGTCTCTCCCAATTAATTGCTGTAGATATTGCCAAGTATTTGGCAAAGTTTCATGGCAGTGAACTGACTGCAAATTTGAGAGTTATGAAATTAAACTGTAGGCTAAGCTTCCTGAAGGTCTCCTGAACTGATCCTTCACAGAGAATTTCAGTGGACAGCATGTTATGCTTTATGTTTTCTGTGCCTCCAATTTCAGAGTCCACTTGTAGCTGGAACAGTGCATGATTTTGAATAATACTGAAATGGGAACAGAAATGCTTTGAAGCAAAACCCAGCACAAGAAAGATGTGGAGCTCTTGGAACGGGTCCAGAGGAGGGCCACAAAGTTGATCAGAGGGCTGGAGCACCTCTCCTATGAAGAAAGGTTGAGGGAACTTGGCTTGTTTAGCTTGGAGAAGAGAAGGCTCTGGGGAGACCTCATTGTGGCCTTCCAGTACCTGAAGGGAGCCTGTAAACAGGAAGGGGAGCGACCGTTTACAGGGGTTGATAGTGACAGGATGAGTGGGAATGGTTTTAAACTAAGACAGGGGAGATTTAGGTTGGATATTGGGGGAAATTTTTCACTCAGAGGGTGGTGAGGCACTGGGACAGGTTGCCCAGAGAAGCTGTGGATGCCCCATCCCTGGAGGCATTCAAGGCCAGGCTGGATGGGGCCCTGGGCAGCCTGCTCTAGTGGTTGGCAACCCTGCCCACAGCAGGGGGGTTGGAACTAGATGATCTCTAAGGTCCTTTTCAACCCAGGCCTTTCTATGATTCTGTGATTCTATGATTAATGAAAATGTTCTTGTTTGTCCTCACTCCGTGATATCGATATAAGAATTCATAAAGACAAGAAAACAGTGGAGGTATGAGGCCTTTACAAAATGAGCCTTCATACAATCACTTAATCACTACAAGTCAAAGGGCCCTTTATTTATTTGGTTGATCAGTTCATTCAGGACAATTCTCCCTGTGACACAGAAGCACAAATACTGTTTTACTATTACAAATCAGCTAATAACCATTAAATCCTTAGTGAAACATTTTAAAAGCATAGCAGGACAGGAATGTCCCACAGCATCCATTAAAACTATGGGGAAGAACATAGCCTCCCTTCCAAAAAGACAAACAGCCCCAAACTCATCTTATCATCTGCATAGTTTCTTATTTAATTCAGATATATTGTACCTTGACACCAGCTTTATAGCATGCTTTCTTACATGAATATCACATCTGTGAAAGGGAAATTTGTCCCACCAGGATCCCTAAGTACAAATGGATCAAGGAGAAATTCCTATGCTTTTACTGAACCCCGCCTTATCAGGTGGGAAATGCATAAAATGTGTGCATAAAATGCACAACTATTGAAATCAGTGTGGTCTGTGTGAGTTGAAACTTTGTAATTGCTAGATGCATGTGTATGTGTGTACCTGTGCGCTCATGTGCATACATGTGTGTGTGCGTATTCCTGCAGCTGGATCAGTATCCCTCCTGGCTTCTGCACTTGCTTCCTGTTCAAGAGGAGGGAAACCAGTTCACTCCACCGCAAGTTGCATTAGCCAATATCACATGTGCCTACTATATTTTTCAAGGGGGATGTGAGGAAATAATTAATGTGTATGAGACAATCTGAGAACCATAGATTCAGTTTTGAGAACTATTATTTTATTACTGGGGCAATAGAAGGTTTGGTTTTATTTTAAGATGAGATCAGCTGCAAAAATGACATGGGCATCTGTGAGACTTCTGACTAAAAGGAATTACCATGGTGGTCTGTTGACTGAGTCTAAAGTATGTCTTGTTTCTTTTCTCTCCTCCTCTCCTCCCTGCACCCCTGTCTGTATACGTAGGAGCTAACGCATCTGCTCCTGACCAGCTGAGCCTAGCATTAGCCTGGAACAGAGTAGACATCGCCCGGAGTCAGATCTTTATTTATGGGCAACAGTGGCCGGTACAGTATATATATAGCATCTTCTACTGAAAACACTTTAAACCCATTCTGTTGGCAGCGCTGGTTTTAACACAGTTTAAAATATACTGAGTCATGCTCCCAGTCAAACACAGAGTTCCCGTTGACAGCTACTGAAGGCAGACACGGTTACAAAAATGTTAATATGTTCGTTTGTTCAAGGAAATGGTGACATCTAGCGATGCCTTAACACTGAGAGACCACACCTTTAAAGAAAAGGGAAGGAAGGCAAGCTGAGAAAAACAAGTACCTATTTGCAGCCATGTTACCCTGTTAGGCTGTAAATTAAAGGAAAAGCAAAACTTCTTTTTTCTCTTCAAGCAATATGCTTTTATATACAAATACTGAATTTGATGACGCTCGGACTTCAAAAATAAGCTGAACAAAAATGCTGGAGATATAAAGTGGACCACAAGAGCCAATCAGCAATGTTACCACAGAAGTGCTGTGGCTCCAAACCCCAGCTAGTGTTAATTTCGTGCCCAGCGCTGCTCTGCATCAATCTGCCTGCTCTGTGTCTGCCCCATCCTATGGTCCAGCTGCCAGCTGTGGGGACAGCCTCCCTGGCCAACCCTGATCCCCTGGGGAGCACCATGAGCTTCTGCAGTCGTGGGAGGTCTGTAAATAGAGCAGTTACTGAATGCTGTGTGGGGCAGAGGAGGAGTAAACTCCCAACTTGTGTTGCAGTTTTTACAGTGGTAGAAGTCACCCACAAAAACAAAATCAGAAGGACTCTGTCTCTTCCTGTAGCTCCTTAAAGCCCACCATGTCTTTGTTCAGAAGGTTTAATTGTATCACAATATTCATTACTGTGATTCTTTTTTTTTTGTCACCATCATGAAAATTTCATATGCTGTCATTACATGAGCATTTACAACTCCCCATGAAAAAACTATAACAAAGGGAAAACCTTCATTTAAATATCCTGGCGTAAAATATAGTTACTGGAGCTTGCTGCCCCTTAAAGCTAGTTTCAAAAATCCTTCCCTTTTCAGTTATGGAGTGAACAGGACTATTTATCTTGTCTTCAATGTTGTGCATAAGTATACATCAAAACATAGAAGGGATTTTAATGGTACTAAACTGTCCTTATCATAATTGCTCCATCACCACATCAGAGCAAAAATTTGCAAAAATGCTGCAAGCTGCAATTATTTTGCAAGCTAAAAGCTGGAAGTATAAGATAATTTATCATCTCCCCCCAACCTGCAAGAAACAGAAAAGGAGATGTTTTGCATAAGAAGACTTCTTGCATTTGGCCCTTCAGAGAAATGCTAATTGTGAAACTATTTCTGCTTCCTGGGTGTCAAAGTTACCCTGAGTTTCAACACCACAAACCAAACATAATAATTAAAGTGAGAGTGTGTACACGTAACAAATATGCCCAATATAAATAAATTGTTTGTCAAGAAAGTGAGAAATAAAGATAATAATGAGATGGTGAAGGGTGTGGAGGTGTGGTCACCAGTTTCTTGGGTTCCAGTTCCTTGTCCTAATCTTGATTTCCTAGAGTACGTTAATCTTAACACTCGGACACTCTGTTTTGAAATACTGCCCTGAATCAAAGAAACCAATATAGACTAAACCCATGATTATGCTATTTTAAGCTTAGCCAAGCAACCCTCAGATTTTTGTCAGGATTCCCTGCTTGTGCCAGGGTGACAGACCAGACAGATAACAGCCTGTGACACCCAGGAACAGCCTGAATTAATCGCTTGCTTTGCAGGTGGGTTCACTTGAGCAAGCAATGCTGGATGCACTGGTGTTGGACAGAGTGGATTTTGTGAAATTACTCATAGAAAATGGAGTAAGCATGCATCGTTTTCTCACCATCTCCCGGCTAGAGGAATTGTACAATACGGTAGGGCCAACCTAAGGCAAATTTTCTATATCTCTATTACACTCTGTTCAGTGTTCTAGCTCCCACTTGTATTACAATGACGTGATGATGCACAAGGCAGCCAACACCTGCTGCAGAAATTTTCCATGTTAGAAGTCCACATTATCTCTTAGCTTTGTCTCTCATATAATGGAACACACTGTGTCTTGCCCACCTAATCTGCTGTACAGATTTTGTAAAACGTGGATTAAGCCCCCCACAGTACCAGCTGACTTCTGGTCATTGTAATTCCAATGTGATAGACCTGAGATTTAAGCAGATGGCACTGGCTGGAAGACAGTAACTAGCAAGTTAAGAGTAGGATGGTGATATATGTCTCCTGACAGTATAAGCCCTCTTGGTTTCAGAAAAATGTTGCAACTGTTAATCAAACTCAGCTACTAGAAAACAAATACAAGCAAAATTTTTGGGATAATATTCTGAATTTAAAGGTGAAATCTGACTATTTCAGATGTTCTGTTACAGTGAAAGACTTCCCTGTGTCCTTACTGAATGTTCCAAAAATTATAGTTTTGACTTTTAAAATCCTCTTTGCAGGTTTTATATCTTTGCCCTTAAAATGAACATAAAACTGCACAGGTTCAAACTGCTTCTGATTTCTCAACTGCAAAACACATTCCAGCATTCACATCATTATTGCCTATCAAGAGAAACCAAGAAGTTCAAATTTTTTAAGTGGTATAGAAAAATCTTAAAGCATTTTCTAGTTCTTGGGATTGCTAGTTGCATCTGTTGGAGAGGATTTGTGACATAGTGCATAGGCCATTTCAAAGTTTTTTTCTGACAGTACTTTCAAAGCCCTGACATCATAAACTGCCATGCTGGACTGTTACCAGAGATGTTTCACACTGATGGTGACCAGAAGTCAGTCTTTCAAAAATACCAAACATGAAAAGAATTCATTAAATTTGTGCAAAATATGGAGGAACAGGTATCTGTGCCACCCTTCAGACAGAGATTCCCATCTGATCTTTGATCATTTTAAACTTTGCCTATTGACTAGCATCTACTAAGAATAGAAAGCCTACGTGCTTTCTTGCTACAGAGATAAGCATTATAGTTCCTGTACCAAAGCCATTTTTTACAGGGATTTAGTTTGAGGAAAGTCTTCAGTTCTACAGCTAAAAGAAGGCCTTTTTGAACAAATGTCTTGTGAGCTAGAGAAGTCACTATATTCATGCAACCATTTCAAAAGACCCAGTCTGTGAAATGCCTAAACTACAATTTATAATACATGACCTAATGCATCCATAATAGCCTTACCACCAAAAAATTTACAAGGCCAGTTTAAAAATACCAAATTTCAGCACGAGCCCTGAGAGTGACCTGGGTAGCTACAAACCAGTGAATCTGATTTCTGCCATGTCAAATTTTTAAAAATACAATAAATAATAGAATTAATAGGCAAGGGGATCAATTTTATGTCAAGAAAGAGTTTATTGGCTTCTGTAGGAAAATGTTAAGCCTTAGAAATCTATTACTGTTTCTGAAGTCAACATACAGGTGAATAAGGATGTGGCACTTGGTATGCCTGTTTTTGCAAACCTGTTTGACAATATTTGACAACCTCAAATGTTATTAAAAGAAATTTAGCTGTCATGGCATAGAAGATAAGGGGCATTTATGATTTAAAAACTACTTGAAGGATAGAAAACAGAGAGTAGGAATACATGGTCTGTTCTCGCTCAAAAAGGACATCATGACCAGGGTCATCCAAGACTATGTCCTGGGACCACTGCTGATCAGTCTGTTTAGCGATGATCTGAAAAATAGTAACTACTGAAGGAATGATGTTTCCAGGTGATATAGCATCACTCAGGTTAGGTAAATTTGAAGCTGCATATGAAGAATCACAGGAAGGTCTCATCATGCTCAGTGATGGCATTACATAAAGTGTTGTCAAATGCAGAGCAATGTATATACAGAAAGACTGACTCTGAGCATATGCAGTGGTCTCATCTATCATCAGTTACAAACAAGGACACCTCCCATAAAAGTCTCTTCAGCTATCTGCAACAGCCAAAAAAACAACAGAAAAGAAAGTACTTTTCCACTTAACATATAACTGAAATTGTAGGAGTCTGCTGCAGAATGTTTTGCATGTTGGGTGGAGTCAAAAGAAGATGGGACAAATTCACAGACTGTGCATGCTGTTAGTGGCTGTCAGACAAGATAGCCCAGATGCAACATCAGGCTCAGGGGCTCTCTGAGCCACCAAAGGTGGAAGTGGAGATTTTGAGTGCAGGAAGGCTGACACCTAAGCAGCTGTTTTTCCTTATACTCTCTCCCAGAAGCAGTGCTGGCCTCCTGCTTTGCCTAAGCCAGGAGCCTAATCTGGTATATAGGACCTTAGTTTTCATCCAGTATGGGAGTTGTTCTGATTTTCTTACTGAAGGTTTTGTACAAAGGAGAAGTCAGGTGAAATAATGCTCTTGTAATTGATTTTATTTCTTTTTAGTTGATAACACTGTACAATTGAAGTGCTCTCAGTTGCCTGGTTTTTAAACTACTAAGGTGAGAAAGTAATTTCAACTGTTACATCTTGCACATCTTTGGACAGTGCAAAACTATTTTATTCTTCTTTATTTGTCCTTGCAGAGACATGGACCATCTAACACTCTGTATCATCTAGTAAGGGATGTCAAAAAGGTAAGAGTCCAATAGACGGTAGGTTGGAGATAATGCTATGATTGCTTTTTGTAGCTAGATACAATATCTGTTTTGCATGAGCTTTCAGTCAGAGCCTTCTCCTTCCCCTGCCATTACAGAATGTCCTGTTTGTATGTACTGAATATGAATTTTTTGCATACAATGACAATTAGCAAGTTATTTGGCTTGCTTTCTCTGTAGTTTTAGATGCTTGGGTAATAGTGCTTCTGCTAGCATAACTGTAGGCTCTTACATACCATGTGGATTTATGCTGTTATCTGTATTTTCCATACCTGCAACTATTGTCAAAGCTAATCTCCTTGTTGTTAGTTTACTTCCAAGCCTGTAAAATAGCTGTTATCCTTGTGCTGTATCCTAGTTTGTTGAAACAGTTCCTCGTTCTGTGTTGTGTGGCATATTGTAGCCATCTTCCTCAGCAGAAATACACAAAAACAAATAGTGCAACATCTCTCCTGCCCCCTTATCAAATTGTTTTCAAGCACCCTGAATTATAAAGAGCCATTAGGAGGGTAGGACAGAAACACAGAAAGGTATAGTGACAGAAAAGAGATACCAAATACCTTTAGCAATGTATTCAAGATTAAAAGTGTTACAGCAGCAGCAATGAATCAAAATCCTTTATCTCTAAATAGATGGATCAAGTAAGGAGATTGAGTCTGCAACTGACCTCATCAGCTTGAATATTCTACCAAAGCATGTGCAGATTACAACCTTGCACATTACATAAGTCAGACTTCAAGGGTAGCATACTTGAGAAAGGAGATTTCTGTACATGGGACTAGATAGAAGATTGAAAAAGGAATGAAGATTTTTGTAAGAGCACAAGTTTCTGTGGTTTCATCTGTCACTGACAGCTGAGGAGAACCAAAGGGAACTAAGGGAGGGGAGTGGCAATGCTTCAGATACCATCTTTCTGCTAAAAGGTGCTACATAATTATCAGTAGTTATGTTTAGGGCAGTTCTGGTGGTTTTCTTTGATTAGTGTGCTACATGGCATCATCATTCAATTATATACAGTACATTAAGTGATCATCGGAAAGTGTGAAATGCCTATAGAAGAAACTGAAACTGTTCTTACGCACAAATCCCCTTGGATGGAGCAGAGTAAAACTAAAGTGCATTTAGACTGACTAGTTCTCTTGAAGTTCAAGTTACCAGAATTTTTTTGTTACTAAATATGCAGTTATTTGTGTGCCCGTAAGATTTTGAAACAAGCATCATCTGTCTTCTTAACTTTAAAATATATTCCTTCTCAAACTCCTCTGTCCCCCAGCATCACCTTTCCAAGTCCTCCTTTAAAGGCACAGCAATTTGTATGCTGAGTAACTGAATAGTATCAATATCTTTTTCTAAGTCCCTAACAAAAGACATATTTTTAAAGGAGCTCTTGAAAATAGAGCATCAAAATAGGTGAAGATGACCAGTACTGATAGGTATATATTGGTAGACATTGGCATTAAATAAACTTACACTATATTTGTTCCATGGTGATTGATTGATGTTAGTTGATGGTCATTTTTCAACAAATGCATCTTTCTTTCTTTCTTTCTTCTATCCATATGTGAAGCCTCCGCTAATTCCCACTACATGAAGTCAATGGGCACTCTTATTAGAATATAGTTAAGGGCTGTAAAAACAAACAGCCTGGTGCAGTCCTCTAGCACCTTCACCAGAAAACTGCACCTCTGGGGCTGTATTTCTCATTTTGTCAGTGGCAAGAAACAACTGTGGTTCACTCGGAGAAAAGTGACAGCTTGCCATAGCCCTGACATCTGACACCACCTTAAATGAAAACACCTCATTGGAAATAACTTTGACATTATTTGACAGTTAGGTAGTCCACCATGCATGAAAACCAGACCACACTGCTGATGCTAGTTTTTGAGTTTATATATATTTTTATGCCAGAAAACTAACCTCTCAGATTTGGTTACAGTTTCGCAAAACATAAATACAAAAAAATGAGTGTGTCACCTTGAGACAAAACTTAAAGGATATGCATAGTCTGTGCTTTTTATGCATACATCCCAATTTTAAAACTTGCACTATTTAAAAGGGTGTATACTATAAAAAGTTATTTACATCTTCGTCATTGTGAATTCTCAATTAGAAAATGGATGCTTACAAATCATAGAAGTATTATTTAATTTAGTACTATTGTATTACACAACTGTATAAATCACTAGGAGGATTTTTTTTTTTTGTTTAAAAGACCACCCTGCCTGCTTAGTAGAGCAAAGAATTTTAACAACAGAAGTCACATAACCACATCCTGTTTGTGGCAGCTTACAGACACACATGCGCACGCATACGCACTCAGGCACATACAAACATGTTAATTTATTTTCTATTTAGATTCCCAAATATTGCTGTGAAGATTGTTAGCCTGGGCATATTGTCAAGGCCTGGAGACACAGCCTTAAAGAATTTACAGTAATCAAAGCGCACTTAAATTCTGCTGTGCTGATTAACAAGACAAAGTACTCCTTAATGACCCTGCTTTAGAGACAACTTTGCTTATCTCTCCTTTTGATCCTCTCACTTCCATAACTACATACGGGGACAAATCTGTCTGCATCGTTTGCATCGTGTCCTGTTTGACATACCCTGTCGAGAGTACAGAATTTATCATACAACGTTGACTTCCTTCCCCAGACGGTGCAAACAGACACATCCAGGCTAAGAAGGAAGAAACACTGGCCGTGCTTGACATCCTGCCTGTGAGTGGGCGTTGCCCTCTACAGGTTGTTTTTAGAAAATCCTTCCCTGGCTCAACTGTCTAATGAAGATTAGTAGAAATTAACAGAGGATTTCTTTCTTTAATCCAAAAATTAATATATATTAATCCCACTCTATGGTGATATAAGTTTTCAAAGTTCTTTATTTTGGACTGCCACTGTATGTCTACATTTCCAAAGAACTAACAAGCAATAGACAGAATTTTGAAAGTATTATTTTTTTCCTCAGCATGCAAAATCAGAGGATTGGAACTTGACAAATATAAAAATGCACTTGAAGTGAAAAAAAAAAATACTGTAATTGATTAGCTGCAGCTTAAAGTTGAAGTTTCTTCAGGACAACCATAAGGCATTAGCACTAGCTTGTCCTGGCCTTAAAAGGGTAATTGCTTATTAACTGGGGTACCTATCATACCCAGAAGTGGAGCCTTCTCCCCCATCATTCTTGGCCACCTTGGCTGTGCTAGAATTAGCCCAGGCAAACTTTTGCTGTTCTTGGAGGGGTTCTGGCCCACTTGCACCACTGTGCTTCATTTACAAGCAGACTCATCGCTGCCAGAGTAGTTCAAGGTGTCTGCTGATTTGGCAAATGCTTTGGCACATTTGCACCATTTCACAAGGATGGTTCAATTGGCTTTACTATGGCTGCTGACTTTGGAAAAGTAATTTTGTCTTAGCAGGGAGCCAGCCGTATGTTTATGTCTACAAAATGTGTATATTTCTGTTGTGAATATGTGAGTTTTCTTTAGCAAAGTGTTTCTATATTATCTGGGAGGTTTAGATGCATTTTTTGTTAAAGTTATTCTATTGGGAATTTTCTATCTAAATCCATTTACAAAATTTTAGAAATTTTAGAATCTATATCAAGAAACCCACGCTTTCTAACACATGCAGCACCCTGACACCTGTTGTGCTTTCTTAATTGCTCAAGTATTTTTTGCCACTTAATAACATGAAAGCATCCAGTTTTAGTGTATCACATTAAGACAGCAGGAGTCTGTTGAAAACCTACAACTCTGTCTTGGAGCTACAGCTCCCACTTCTGCGTATGCCTTCATCCTTGGTCCAGTAAAACTGTCATTGCCTTAAGCATTCTGGAGAGAGAAGAACATTTTGGGGAAAAAACAAAAAACAAACAAAAAAAGATCAGGATTCCATTTTTAGATTTAAATTATTTTTCTTTAAACAGTTCAGAATAACAATTACCAGGTTCAAATACACCAGATAATATGCAGTCCAGCAAACCATAGTAATTCCCCTATCAGATTAGCCAAGAGTAGGAAGAATGTAAAAGAATATGCTGAAAGGCAGTTGGCAGCTCACCTTTTGCCACTAAATTTCCTTGATCCTCTGTCCCTTTGAATCCCAGCACATTGCTAGGCATAGTACACCGCAGCACTGCCTCCCTCTCCTGCCTCAACCTTTCAGCATGCTGTTTGTACCATGGTGAGCAGAGAGGGAAATAAGCATTGCTCTTCCTTGCTCAAGTAGAAGAGGAAGTGGGATCTTTGCATCCATTTCATCTCTTCTGCAGAACCAGCTGCCATCTGTTCTCCATTAGTGTTTCTCTGCTCTGAATCTAATAAGCACATCTGCAGAGAAGCCAGGCAGATATCTGCAGACATGAAGACATTTCCAGCAAGACACAACAGTCATAAAATTGCTTCATGCAAATTACTAACCTTCTTCTGAAGATCACATAAAAAGAGCTACAGGCTAACTCTAATGTCTGTTGTATATCATGATAGAAAATATGATTATTTTGTTACAGTGCACTGAAGAAGTTTGAAGCTAACAATTACAATTTCCTGGTCCTTCTGCAATGTTGACTATACAAGTTAATTTTTTACTAGAGCAATATTCTCTTTTTTCAAGGCTACTGCTCACAGTTCACAGAAGGATAATTTACTTCTCTTTACACCTTTAATTTGTACTCACATGTTTTGCACAATGACATACAGGACAGAGAGCTGTAAATCTGCAGGGTTCTTAAGGAGAAGTCTAGGTCTGGGTGACCTATGCACAATTTGCTGAATCATGCCTTCTTTTCTGATAGAGAACTGCTCGTTGAACCATAAACTGTCATCCAAATAATGCGGTGGCAGTGATTTAGAGAAAGACTCAAACTTTCATTTGAGAGCATTCCCTTCCCGTTAGCCCTTTTTTCCTGTGAAGGCATAAGAGTCTTCCTTGTGGAGCTCCAGGGGGGGACTGAAGAGCAGATGTGCCCACACTGGGATTTTGTTCTTCTGTTGCCAGAGACTTCCAGGAGCACTTCACCAGCACATCCATGAGACCAGCGCACCCTGAAATTGTTCTGTCCGGCTAGGTGTCACATCAGGCTCACTGCTACTGGAGAAGAGAAGTGCTTAGTTAACTAAAAGGCAGACTCATATACATATGTAGTAAGAGATAATCTATTACTGAGATTTTTCTTCAGAGTTTTGCAAGCCATAGGTATCAGAGAACTCATAACCAAGGTTTTCAGCCTTGACAGTGAAGAGAAGGAAAATATGTGCAAGGGAGTTCACAAAGTGAGGGCAGGAAGACATGGCCATATTTATCATTCTTTTTCCCTTCAAAATAAGAAGTGCATGCTGAAGACATTGTATATATATATATACATTATATTTAACAGAGGATAAGAAAGGAAAAGAAATGGAAGAGCAAGTACGTAGACATTTTTCCAGGACCCTGCTAAATGACCCTTGTCACAAGCACAGTTCACCTTTTGGGCAACAATCTCCCTGGCACTGCTGGAAATTAGGTATCCAGATTACTGTGCTTAGAGGGGCTTTCAGTAAAATATGTTGGGAGCTCAAGGGGTACCATCTAGGAAAATTGCTAGACCTGTAGTTTTCTTCTTGGGAAAAAATAAAAAATAAAAATAATTTTAAAAACCCAAAACCCAAAGAATTAGGGACAGATATTTTGTTTATTACAACTTTCTTACTTACTTTTATACATACAGATTATTTCCTCATACCAGGTGTGGAATTTAAGCAAAGATATGTGTTTATTTGTACATAACCCCAAGAATAAATGCTAACAGACTCTTCTTGCCTCTAGCAACTAGCAATAATAATAACTCATGCACTGGTTACAAGTCCTTAGAGTGGATAACACAACTCTTTCCTCGCTGCCCTTCCTTTCCTGGAACATGGGAAGGAAACACTGCAGGATAGGAAGATCATACACAGGAGATAGTTCCATGTGAACAAATGGTATCTCATGATGTCACTTCACCGTGCCTTGGCAGTGCAGATGAGGCAGTCCAAAGAGATGCCAGCAGAGACATGAGATGCCAGGACAAGAGTTGTGGGGGACAGATGGTGCAGAAAAGGTGCTGTCTTGCAGGATTAAAGTCCAGCAACTGTGTCTGACCTTTCAAGTGTGCTGATCCTCGTGCTTTTTGTTCTGCAGTCATGTTCGTTCTGCAGTCATGTTCCTTGTTTCCCCAGCTGAAGAATATGAGTACTGTGTACTGACATTATCTTCTGTTACTTACAACAAGTTCTTCACCTTCTTATTTAACTTATGTCTTCTTTCCAAGCGAGAATATCCAGGTTTCGGTTGGATCTATTTTAAGGTGAATTAATTACCCAGCATAATAATACATTCCTGTTTTTAACTATTAATTTGTTTTATTCTAACATCATTATAAAGTATATTTAACAACTCTAGTAATAAGTATTTCTTCCTCCCCCACTACCCTTCTTACTTTCATTGCAGGGAAATTTACCTCCTGATTATCGGATAAGTCTGATCGATATTGGTTTGGTGATAGAGTACCTGATGGGAGGAGCATATCGCTGCAATTACACGCGAAAACGGTTCAGAACACTGTACCACAATTTATTTGGGCCCAAGAGGGTAAGGAGCAAGTTATTTGCCATCTGTATGACTGCACCCACTGGCAGGGATAACCACAGCTTCTTAGATGGTTCCAGGCTGGGGGAATCCACATGCACACACCACAGTATACAGATTCATTTTCATTATGTATATAGCAGCTATTTCACCACAAGACACTGCAACCAGCCACTGATACAAGCTACACTTTTTATTAATTTAATGAAGAAATTATTGAGGTCTGCTGCCCTGCTGAGACAAGGACATAAAACTGTCTTCTGTCTCTAAAATCTGTAATGATGAGTGTCCATAGCTTTTGAAAGACAAATCTTTTGACCTGTACCAATTATGCCATAGGGCACCTGATTTAGACCTGAAAAAGCTTGTGTTTTGATAGATGCATTTCCTATCGTCTTGATTGTGGCCTGAAGGTATCAGTGCAAAGAAACCCATAGCTCAGAATTGGCTTTCTTGGCTGGAGGTGGGTCCAGCTAAGTCAGTGGACTCCTAGCCAAAGCACCATTCAGTATTTTTGTGGTTTTCATGTTTGATAGTTTGCAATACTGTGAATCCAAAGTAAGTTTGATAACTTTCTGAAACATAGAGATGCTTATTGTCATCCATAACACCAATGGCCCAATCCAGCTTTAAGAAAAATCTGCTGAACTGCTCCCAGTAAGATTTGTGGTTCTTTCTTTGCTTATTTTTACCTCACATTTTCATTTTGTGTCTCAGTTAAGGTTTTAGCAATACACACCATCAAATATTGTTTTAAGTGGCTATGAAGAGCAACAGCCCTGTGAAATGGTTAGAGCCAAACACCAGAAATGTGTTTTTTCCCCTACACTTTCATTCTTAATTTCTGAGAACAAAGGTAGTAATTGTAGCTGCTGGGAGAGACTTCTTCAAGAAGGAGCTTGACTCCATCAAGAAGAGAGTTTGAGTAGCGATTTCACAGATACTGAACCAACATACGGAGCAGTTCCACAGCGCTCAATAAAAGTGTGCCAAGGAAATGGCCAAAATACTGATGCACCCCCAAGAAATCCATTCAGGCCTTAGCAGTAATTCCTATCTCTTTTCCACTAGAAAGCCCCAAACCAGCTGTAATTTGTACCTGAATCCAAATGTATGTCTTCTGTCGTGTGTTTTCGTGAAATAGGGTCAAAATTAAGTTTGAATTAAATATATATAATTCTTTGCTTGATGTATATACTTGTATTACTTTACATTGCATTGTACATTTTGTTCTGTATTATATATTGTCTATTACATACTCTACATTCTATAGTCTATATTATATGTTAAACACCACATGTTACAGTTACATATGTATGTATGTATACACATATAGTTGTATTTTTTTCATCATCCTTCTGGGATAAATAACATTTTTCTAACCTTTTTGTGCAGCCAAAAGCCCTGAAACTGTTGGGAATGGAGGTAGGCAACCCGTGATAAATCTTAATGTCTTTTTCTTCTTTGACAAATTTACACTATATCAAGATAATATTTAAATTCACCGTAATGAAGGCAGCAATAGTTGTTTTCAAGTTTTGTATGAGAAATGTGCCACACAAATTGTATTTTTCATCCAGATAACTTGTTTACACAAGAGCCAGATTAAGAGACATTTCTTAATAAAACTCCAGTGGATAGACAAGAGAAAAGAAGTCTCTGACCCCTCTAGGCATCATTTTTCTTGTCATGAAAATTAAACAAAATGTTTCAGCCTGTCAGGCCAAGCAGAATTACAGACAGATAACTATATAACTTTAAAACATTCATAGAAATGAAGCAGTTGCAGAGAATGATGCAGACATCTTTATACAGGTCAAATTTCTATCAGTTTTCTTGACACTTTTGGCTACTCTGATGCTTCAAGGAGACAGTAGTGGCTTTGTTTGTTTATTTTATATGACAACTTTCATTTTGCTGTCCACAGACTTAGCACAGAATAGGTCAGCTCATCTGATAAATGCAGTAGGCTAAAATGGGAAAGAAACTAAAGGTGATAAAAAACAAAGAGATGGAGAAAGAAGGGATAAACATGGGATCCAAAGGCAGAATGGGAGTGAAGAAAGGAGATTCCTACTCTTGTGAGAAGATAAAGGGAGAAAACACAAGAACAAGCAAAGAGGGAGTCTTCAGCAGGCCAGAATATCCCCTGGATGCATACTTTCTTGAGCTGGAATGATCTGGATGCATTACAACAGATTTTATATTTGGAGTTAACTCTTAGCTTTATTTTAATGGTGGCTTTTCCAAAATGGCTCTGGATATTTTCTGCTTGTGCTATGTGTTCTTAGGGAGAAAGAACAGTTCAGAGTAATAGTCCAAAGCTCTTTTTCCCTGTGTTTAGGTATGGGGTTACTGACTTCTTAATTACAATGCATGGACCAATACTTTTTCATCATTTTCCTGTGTTAAATATTTTATCCAAAAAAACTGAAGGGGCTGGCCTGCAGGGAGTATGTTTGACATCTCAGATACTGATTCCAATGCATTGTATTAATTGATTCAGTTCCTTCACTGGTGAAAAAGTTTCTCTACAATTCTCACAGGATGATGTCCCTTTACGGCGAGGGAGGAAAACAACAAAGAAAAGAGAAGAGGAAGTTGATATTGACTTGGATGACCCTGAGATCAATCATTTCCCCTTCCCATTCCATGAGCTGATGGTGTGGGCTGTGCTGATGAAGCGTCAGAAGATGGCCCTCTTCTTTTGGCAGCATGGGGAAGAGGCTATGGCTAAAGCACTGGTGGCCTGTAAACTCTGCAAAGCTATGGCCCACGAAGCATCAGAAAATGACATGGTCGATGATATATCCCAAGAGCTGAACCATAATTCCAGGTGAATTTTCTTTCATGTACACTCTCCTGGGTTTAAAAAAAAAATAAAAAATAAAAAACAACACGTAGAGAGGTTGGTGAACCTGCCTGAAATTTGCTTATCTATACCATGCTGTAATTTTAGGGAAAATGCAGTCACTTTAGAGAAAGTCTAAATGGCTTTTAAACAATCTGTCTGACAGAGAAGCAGTGTTGCTAGCAGTATAACTTCTGAAATGAGAAGGTGTCAAGAAGGCAGTGAAATTACATTGTCTACATGTTCTCCCTGAGGCCTCAAGAGTCAGGCTGCAACCTTTCTCTGTGCTCTTTCAAGACACACTGTTCATCCCAAGCAGAACAATTGTTGAAATCCTTATAAACATAATGTTCAGGCAGAGGTGTTAATTAACCAAGAGCTCATGCTTAGGTGAGCAAGCCAAGATACTAGATTCCATAATAATCTTTCCTGATGTTAAAAATCTGAGACACAGAATTTAAAAAAGGGTATTAGACACTTCTTCCCAGGAGAGTTGACTATGAAGCCATGGGTGAACTTCACAGAAACAATCCTCCAAGCTGCAGATAACCAGAGGACTTCAGCTAGAAAATGTCAGGGAGGTGGGCAGGCAGGTGGGAGCAGACAGCTGGTAGGTGTGGGTGCTCATTACTTCTAAGTTGGGGCATTTATTTATATGCCTACCATTAGCCACTCACATTTGAAAATGTGGGTTTCTATGTGTACAGTCAGCATCACGATTTGTATGATGGAAGGGGATGCCCTCCTTGCAGAAGCTGTCAGTCGCAGAGCAGCATTTTCTGCAGCACGCTGCTTGGGCTAGTGGGAATGGACAAATGTCCCTCTGTTGCAGGGACTTCGGCCAGTTGGCGGTCGAGCTGTTGGACCAGTCGTACAAGCAAGACGAGCAACTGGCAATGAAACTGCTGACCTACGAGCTGAAGAACTGGAGCAATGCCACATGCCTGCAGCTCGCAGTGGCAGCCAAGCACAGGGACTTCATTGCTCACACTTGCAGCCAAATGCTGCTCACAGACATGTGGATGGGTCGTCTCCGGATGCGCAAAAATTCTGGCCTAAAGGTTAGCACTGTTTTAGATTAAAATTAACAGTCAGAGGAGTTCTAATAGATGGTGATGGGGCTCACAACAAATCAATAACTGTCTCAATATTTCAGGTGCTTATTTGTAGTGACATTAAGCAGGTTATATTCTTCCTGTGTTCAGTTTTTCAGCAGGGAGCTTATCACAAACCCAAGTTAAAAGCATCTTAGTTACTTAGTTTTTATCGTCTTTCCCAAAGACCCCTCCAGCATCAGTGAGAGCGATCAAAATAAGAATCGAGTCATGAGGTTAGCATGTCACCCTGCCTGGATAGTTGAGGAGCTAGCCAAGGCTTTTAAAGATAAATAAAGAAAAAGAACCTGTAAGTGAATTAACCGCTAGTGAAAGGTGCTGACACAACAACCTTCCCCAGAACAGGCCAACGCAAGCAGTACAAATTTTCTTGCAATCCCCTGCCAGTCTTCCTGGTGAGTTATCTGAAGGGACTACCTTAGATGATCTAGAGGATAATTCAATTTTCAAAGCTGTTTAAGCTTTACTTCCACAGTTAGTAAAACTGCTAATAGAGCAAGGTGAATTCTGGGAGTTGAATTTGTGTCCGTGGGCTGGCATCCTTCACTTTCACCAAAGTACTCACCAGTTAGTACAAAACCAGGAATTGCTTCTTCCTACCAGCTCACTGAGAAATATTTTCAGGGAAGGGGTTTTCTCTCTGCATTAATTGTGTGTGTGAGAAGTGGTAATTGCTCAGCTGTTTTGCTGTGTGAAAAGATGTTCAGTAATGGTGAGAATGCTTATGAGTACATGCATCATTATTGTACTGGGTTTAATCCAGTGACAGTGATGAATGAGAATGAGTGGCTGATAGCATTCTCATCATCATCCTGCGAGCTGTGGTTAAATATTGTTCTGCTTACAGGTAGAAAGCATTCTCCCATTTTGAGACATCTTTGCTACCTATTTTTCTGACTCCACTCACAGGCCAATTGCCCTTCAGAGGGACATTTGCCTTGTTCCCTGCTTGGCTCTGCAGATATTCAACCTGGGTAAATGGGGACTCATTTCCCACTTCATGTTTTCTTCTTTGCAGCATGCATCTCTTAATCCATAAAATAGACCTATCTTTCACAATGAATAACTGAAGGTAACAGACTCTGTGTCCTTTCAGCTTCTTGTAACATCAAGGCTTCACAAGGATCCTTTACTCAGTTTCCAGTCTTTTATTTCACTGAAGCTCATTAGCAGGGCCTGTTTAAAGCTAAAGCAGGCTACAAGCTACCTGAGCACAAGGCAGCATGGCAAAGAAATAAATTTGCAAGCATGAATCATGGATTGTTTCCCATGAAAAATTTTCTGCTGTCAAAATGGGCAATGGCAAGAAGGTTGAATGTAATTATTTAGAGTCTCGCTGGGGATGTATAGCACCAATGGGAGCAGGAGAGGCAATTCTTAATCCTGCCTGTTCTTAAAAATAGCCTCACTGGGAAGCCAGGTCTGCCTGTAACCCACTCTCCCTGGATACATCCTTTTTGCAACATGCCAAGTGCAGGAGCAGTGCAGGCAGCCTGGTGCTCAGCTCTTCCAAGGCTGGGCACAGCATTCACATACACTAACTGCTCCTAATTGCAGTACTTTGGATGGTTTCAACAACACACATGCTGTCTATCAATATGATGAGCACAAGCAGCCACCCTTCCTGACCTGCTAACAAGGCAACTCTATGGTTTCACTGTCATTAAGGGAGAGATTTATAATAAAATCATTTTCCATGAGATTACAGCAAAACCAGGAAAAGCTGATGTGCTTGTGAATACAGACAGGCCACTGCTTTTTGTATTGTTATGTTACCTCTTCAGTTATACTACTGATTTAACCCCAAGCATCATTCATTGTGTATATCCACCCAAAGTAATTTTAATGGTTTCTGCACTCCCACATCACGAGAGAGGGAAGGCAGACAAGAAGCAGCTGGCATTCATGTGAGCATTATGCAGGTGCCAAGTTACTGAAGCAAAATCTAAAGGGAAAGCACAGCTAAGCACATCATCATTTGCTAATGCTGGCTTTGCCTTATCTCCTCAGATCCACACATGCTTACACCTTGACTACCTGTGTGCATTAAGAGACAGAGAGCTTGAGACCTATTAACATGCTCTGCATAAATTAGTACTGCTTGTGTGTCATTTACACTGATATTATCTATTATATAAATGCAGAAATCTGCAGGTCCAAGGTCTGAACATTCCCATGGTCCCACCTCCTGTTAACCTTACCTCATATTTTGTAAATATATTCTGGTATGTAACAATATGCTTCTGATGAGCAAGCAGATAAAGTATTCAAGAGGGACAATTAGCCATAGCACTCACAGCAACGCTAATAAACCTTAGGTGCTTTGTTTCATTAGGGAGCTCTGAAAACATTACCCTAAGTGACAAATACTCTATTGCCATAGAAACTCACATGCATGAGTATCTTTCTTTTCCTAAATGTCCCGAGGGAGTTGTTCCATTTGATACTAAGTAACCATCATTATTGTAATCTGTTTACTGTGATGATTATTGTTATCATTATTATTGCTTTAGGTAATTCTAGGAATTCTACTTCCTCCTTCAATCCTCAGCTTGGAGTTCAAGAACAAAGATGATATGCCCTACATGTCCCAGGCCAATGAGATACATCTTCAAGAGAAGGAGCCAGAGGAACCAGAGAAGCCAGTGAAAGAAAAAGAGGAGGAGGACATGGAACTCACTGTAAGTGCTGACAATAAATTACCAGCCTCAGTGCTGTCAATTTGCTGTTCCCACTTCTGTGGGCATTGCAGGCTGTCTGATGGCTAAATTTAGCAGATGACAGGATACCACTCTTAACCCTCTCCTCAGTGGGACTCAAACCAAAGAAGTTGGCGTCATTGTGTCTCCATATTGCAGTAGCGCATAGTGGTGCTGAAGCACCATGTTGTAATGTTATATTCTCATATTTTGATTCAATTTGGTGCAGTGTTGTCTGAAATAAATTAAGGAGATTTCAGAATTGAAATCATTAAGCCTCGATAGATGAGTGGGCCTCTGGTAGAAAAGAAGCTCACTAAGTCTTCCTTTGGATGGAAATACCTAAAGATTCATAGAAGTTAGAGATGTTTTTTTCTTTTGGTTAACTTCATTAGAGGACAAGTAAGTACTCAAAGATGTAAGAAAAATGATGAAAACATTTTCAAAATTCTTTATAAATTTGTGGTCATTGCCTCTCACACATACACACAGTTTTTAATCCACTGAAGACATTAGCAAGCAGCTAAACAGCTCAGCCCTTACAAAGAGCTTGTGCAACTCAGCAGAACTGTGTAAGGAGGGACTGTCTGTATTACTAACATAGCCTTAGAGGAATAATTTGCACCACAAAGAGGATCAAATAGCTAAAGCTCTCAGTCTCTTGTTCTCTAGGCTTGTTTGACACTTTTTAATTTGGGCAATTATCATATGAGCTATCAGACCTGCCTGAGGTTAGTTTGGTTTGCTTTGGTTTGGGTTTGATTGTGGTGTCTTTGAAAGCCTTAAAACTCAACCCCAGTTGGTCAAGGTCAGGATAGAGGTATAGAAGTAAAAGCTATTTTCCTGGTTGATCTGAAAGAAAAAAAAAAAAAAGAAAAAAAAAAAAAAGGAACAAAACCAGACTGTTTCCCACAGGCAAACAGCAGGAGCTGCCCACAGGACCCCGTCTGCAGGCAGGCAGAAGAACCTGCCTACAGGACCCCATATGCAGGCAAGCCGAAGGAGCAGCCCGCAAGACCCACCTACAGGACCCGTTTGCAGGCAAGAACCTGGCTGTTGGGAAGGGCCAGAAGCCAGAACAGGAGCAACGGGCCATTCTCTGCTCATTAGCTATTAATTGCAATTTACTATCCCTGGCTTCTGATCCACTGATGAAGTGCCTATTCAAATCAAATAAGCACTTTGCAAGCTGCCTTTTTCTTGGCAATGGGGAGAAATTTGGGGACAAAGTAATTTCCATCTCTCTGCAGTTATCCCAGCTCCTGGTTTCTTGTCTACAATACTGTTTCCTTTTTACCTTCTGACTTCTGCTACAATGAAGTGATGTGCTGAACTGGATCTGCTATTCCAGATGAGTCTTAGATGTTCCCTCCCTTCTCCCTTCCATGTGCTGACAGTCCTAGTGCCCTTTCCTGTCACTGACTCTGCCCTTAATTCCCTCAAATTTGTTGCATCATTCTAGTGAAGTTTCAGACACATACAGCCTTTTCCATAAAACAAGAACTCTTTCTGTGGACTACAGCAAGTTTAGAAACAATATCTTTGGTACACTACTGCTGATTTAATATTTTAGCATGTAATTGATACTGTGCTTTATTATTTCTAACACAGCTCCTTCACTCAGGTGCTCTTCAGTAGTGAGGAGAGATGATTTGCTAGCAAAGACACCTTTGCATGTATTTCCGTTGTTAGACACCATAGCCAGTTAAATCTAGGCACCTTCAGGAACCATGTCAGGGAGGGTGTTCCTACCTGATATGTTTTTAATATAGGAAAATATTTTAGATTGAAGTTTTGTGGTGTTCTGGCCTTAGTCAAATAGTCTGGCATAAGTTAGGTTGGGTCTCTTCTCCACTGATGAGAGGATGCTTGCAAGACTGTTTGGGGAATGTTTTTGTGAAGATTCCCTTTAGACACACTTGTATTAAGGATACCTTATTCATAGTTCATTAAGATTAATAATTGATTGTGGTGTGATATGACAAATGTTTTACCAATTGCTGAACTCTGGCTCAATAGATCAGTCACTCACCCTAACCACAGCTTGTGACTATTGTATTGAAAATGAAGTGTATATTTTTCTCCACATTTTTTCCTTTCAGGACAAACAAATAGATTTTTTTTTTAATTATTACTTCAGTTTTCTTTTACTCATTTACTTAATGGGTACATGATTGTTTAAAATGTTTTTAAAATGTTTTCCATGGTTTGGGTTTCTGAGCTTTGTTCAGCTTAAAGCTTAAACAAAATTGATTAACTAAAAATCACTTCAGTCACCTCAAAAGTCCATTTCTGGCAAATAAGATATCATCCAAACCATCTGCTTAACTCTGTTTCTATTCATTTCAAATGAATACTTCTCAAGTCTCTGTATTGCTATAATATTATGTCCATATGCACTTTTATAAAAGTACTGCTAAGATAAAGAGATCACATCTAATCAAGGTCTGTTCATTGCTGAAGTCTTGTGTATCTTGCACTGCTAAGCCCAGGTGACTAATGATAGGCCAAAAGAGTCAGTTTCTACTGGACTGCACTTGTGCAGAGTGGATGAGGTATAGGGCCACAGTGATTTTTGCACTACTTTACACCTCCTTTGCACAGAAAAATGTGATCACACAGGCTACAGCAACATTGTGTATGCGAGTATGTATTTGGTTTAAGTTTCTCTCAAAGGATCTGGGGGGTAGCTGAACGTTTGGATATACTATAAGGATGTAGTGTTTATTCACTGTAAACTACTTGTTACTCACACCTGCTTTTAACTTTATAACAGATATATGAGAGTGTTGGGCACACATTTCCTTAACACCTAAATGCTAGGCAACAGACTTTCCTTATAGCAGCTACTCACAAAAACACGCTTGAATACTGCTCTCATCACTGCTCCCTCAGCACCAAGGACTTTACTACAATTTATGCATGGAGCTGCCAGTCATTAATTCTGAATATCAGACACAGAGGAGTATAAGGGAATGAAATTCTAAAGGCCAGAGACATTTTGTATTTGTACAGTGTCCTGACGAGGGCCTTCATTAGTTGCTGATTTTCAGGTCAGTCAGAAACCCCAGCAGTCTACCCTCCTCCCAAAATAACACTGATTTTGGAAGCCATAACTAGGAGTATCCTTATCCTGATTCAGTGGCTTATTGTTTAGGTATTAGAGTTCCCCAGTTAATGAACTAATTTCAGAACACAAAATAACTCATATAAGTCTCTCAGAAGATGTTTTAGATGTTGTTTTGTACATCAGATAGGAAGTTTGGACTTCCATGGCCATCACTTAGAGTCTGAGTTAGGATTTTCATTAGCAGCAAAGCTAGTTGTGTTGGCCTCTGGGCTTGCATTATCTCATCTGCAGTATGCATGCTTAGCCTTTCTCCATGGCAAGAACCAACCAAATATTGCATCACTAAAAATACAGTTCTTAAGATAGGAAAAGTTGAAGACCACTGTCCTTGTGCCCCTGGCCCATCTCACCCACCCCGCTGGGGGACAGTGCTGGCAGGACCTCACATGCCAGCAGTGAGGCACGCCTTCAGCTCATCTGGAAAACAGAAGTGGCAGACACCTCTGGCAGTCATGTCGCAGAAGTGCTGGCCCTCTCCATAAGGAGAGATTTTCCTGTGTTTCTCCAAGGGTTTTGGAAAGCCCCCATACCACCACTACACAGATGCCCCGGCAGTGTCCTTCTCTGCACTCAGCAGCCAGGGTGACTGAGCTCCTGGTGCTTTGGCCCTGCTCCTCTGTATTCACCTTAAAGAACTACTGAGCTTGGGCAAAATACAGTATTACACACCTGTAACTCAAACGCACTAAACATTTTTTCCTGACAATATTTCAAGGCAGAGAACAGTAACCTTAGAATAACTACCATGGAGGCAGTATTTCCATGCATAGAACAGGACACAATGGGGTGTTCAGAGAGAGGTATAGTATATCTACCCCGCTATGTACCATTTCCACACCAGTTCTCTGTGAATACAGGGTAAGTCTATACGTAGCATGCATATTTCACTAAGGATAAAATTTGAAGAGCCTGTGATTGTTCTAGCAGTACTAAAATTCCTTTTATTTAATTATAAAACAAATATATTATAGGATCATTAACATATATTAATGCAAAAATGCACAACCCAAAACTGTTCTGGTTCCCTATCAGTGAACGGTCCTCAATTACATAAAACAAAATCTGGAAAAAACCAAACAAACAAACAAACAAAAACCAACAACAACAACAAAAAGGCAAACAAACAAAAGCAAACAAACAAACATAAAGAACCTCAAAAAAACCCAAAACAGAACCCCGATTAGAAAAAATCTCCATGTAAAAACTATGCACACTTCAATCCCCTCAGGCTAAAATGATGCAGTGTACTGTACTTTACAATGTGGTTGAGCTGCTGTTGGGTTTACCTTGCATGACTCATAGTGAATCATGGACAAAATTGTGTATTAGAGAAAGAGATGCCGCCCACACACAGCAGTGTCTGGAGTCATTTCCACCCTATTGCTTCCCCCTGCAAGTGAAAAAACATTTGTTCACATTCGGCATTGCAGCTATTCTGTTAACACAGTCACTTAAGTTATTTCTGTATGTTTCTAATGGGGAGGATTTTCAGTTTGTTAATACTGTGATATAATTAACAGTAGGGGATATCAGGTCAAATCTAATCCCCAGCCATCTCAGAACAATTCCCCACCTGTATCATGGGGGAGGGGAGAGGTTAGTATTATATGATACAATTAATTAAGAAATAATTATAACAAGATAAAATTACAGCATAATTTATCACCAAAAGCACAATAGCAAACAGGAAATCAGCATCCATGAGCTAAAGCATAAATCCAGGTACTGAAAGAGCATTATCCTAAAAACATCCACAACTCACTGATTCCAGTGAGAGCTAAGGGTGTCTCAGAATTAGTAAATTTATAAATTGTGAGTGCTTTAAACTCTGTGAAATAATCCCCTTCACTAAAGCACAGGACTGCTGGTTTGTTAAAGCTGCCAGCATTCATTTTCATTCTGCTGCAAAATTCTTGAGCACCAGAGGACAGCAGAGACAAAGCCTTGGGAAAAGCTACAGAAAACTCTGTAGCACCAGACAGCAGCTTTCCATAAAACAGCATCAGGAGGTAGAGAGTAGCAAAGAAATTAGTCTTTTCTTGGGCTATAATTTTCCCAAAGCATTTAGACCATACTCCACTTTTTTTTGTTCTCCAGGTAAACAATCCTTGATATAGATCAGGGAATTAGTTTGGTTTTATAGACTTCAGGTAATGATACCTGGGGTTCTGTGAAGGTTGTGCAATCTGTGCTACTATAGTTATATTCAGTAAGTCTCATATTCTTGGAGACTGTCTGCTTATCTAATAAGAACCCTTCTCCTCTACTTAACAGCCACCTCATCTTTTCTCTTCTTTATGAAACTGTTGATGGACTTTTAAGAGGTTTTTTGTGCTCTGTGAGAATCAACAGGAGGTATATTTAATTTTTTAATATGCACTGTTTTACCTACATTTATGGCAATGAATTTAGAAATCTGCGGGCATAAAAAGATAAAGGAAATAGGTAACTTCATGAAAGCCTGCTACAGTTTTAAGAGGATCTCATAGAATCATAGAATGGCCTGGGTTGAAAAGGACCATAGTGATTATCTAGTTTCACCCCCCCCCCCATACGCAGGGCTGCCAGCCACTAGAGCAGGCTGCTCAGAGCCACATCCAGCCTGGCCTTGAATGCCTTCAGGGATGGGGCATCCACGACCTCCCTGGGCAACCTGTTCTCAGCAGGTTAGTTTCAGTGTGGTATTCTTGTGTCCTGAATCTTTGTTCTATTTTATTTAAAATGTGTAGGGCAACATCTGTGCATAGTCAAATTCAAGAATATAAGGGACCATGTGGAAAGTAATAATACCAAAGGAAAAAACTAATGCATCAATGAAATTAAAGAGAAATATTATGCAGGAGCCATCAGGAGCCATACAGGTTCCTAATTATGTTACAAATATCTACACTGACAGAAAAAAAAAAAAAAAAAAAAAAAAAGTCATCATTTTATCATTACAAATTACTATTTTACAAGACCAAAGAACTATATTAATAGCTCCACATGAGGCCTAGAAAAAGGAAGAACAGGAAAGATTGTGATTATTACTTTTAAATATGTAAGAAGTGTATCTCCGTTTCCTGCAGGGCACTAGAACCAGATCAAATAGCTCACCTGAAGCTGAAAAGTTAAGTATGTGCTGAACATCCTTTTGAATCAGAGAGCACAGAGATAGATCTGTTTATTGAAAGACAATATGTCTGGCATCTAATTGCTCTCTTTAGGGGCTTAGCTTTCCGTGTTTTTAAGCTGCAGATGAGAACAATGGTGTTCTCATCTTCAGGGATGGTGAAAGTTTGCTTCACTTAACACAAAAGTATGAAAGTGCTTTGATCTGCTTGTAGAAAAAAACATTATAGAAACATTTAAATAAATGCATCATTGTGCAATCCCTGCATACTTCGATAGGACAATTATACATCAATTCTTGCAATTGCTTTCATGTACAAGAGTGCTGCAATCTCTGGGTGCTACCACAAACTAAATAGTAAGAACTTGCTCAGGGCACAATGACCTAAAATCCACTCTTAGTCTACTAGTCACAAAATAATTGTTTTAGAAAGAACGGTTCTCTAAATACAAAGGGACACCTTTTTTAAGCATTAACTTCAGTAAGTTTATAGTTTAGTCACTCCTTCCACCTCTTGGTAGCTGATCATGAAATTGAGAGTAAAAAAAATATAACTATGTTTTGCCTGCTGGGTTTGCACTTATAGCTCATGACTCTTAAGTATGTGCTTCTGGAACTCAGCACAGATCTTCAGTGAGTCTGAATTGCAATGTTAACAGTGAGATTAAGCCTAACAGAGGCAGTGCATTAGAAGTCTGGAACTTCCCTACGGAAGAAGCTACAGTCATATAGAAGGATCTTTCAATCCAAGGCCTGAATTCTGCAGTGGACACTAGTGGTCAGTCCTCTACATCCATGTGAAGTTCACTGTGGGATCATCGCCTGTGACAGATCCAGTGACCAACGTAAAAAGAGTCACTGGCTTCATTGCTTCCAGTCCAGCAACTGCCAGCTCATCTTTTCCCCTGTTGTTCTCCCTCAGTCTCAGCCTTATAAACTTCTCCTTGTTTAAAACCAAAACTTGTCTGTTTTCTGTGTGCATCTGTTTATTGTATAGAAGTACACAACAAAAAAAGCTATTGTCAGGTAAAGATTTTGCTGTCCACACAGCAAAAAGGAGAAATGTTCTCCACATCTCATTTTTTGTTCACCAGTCAAGGATTTCACACTGCTGCTGATAGGTGCTGCCAAAGCGTTGCTTTTTCACCTTAAGAAGTATTAAGCTGCAGCTTCCCTGCAAAAAAAAGATAATCTGAGAACAAAGTATTTTACACCTAGCTATGGTTACCTGGTTTTGTCTAAAGATCAAGACATCAGAGAAGTTTTGAATATTTTCCTTTTAAAAAGTTTAAAAAAAAAAAAACTTAATTTGTCTTTCACAAAGAAAGAAACACAAAAAATATTATTTCTTGTAGGCAATGCTGGGACGAGGGAATGGAGAGTCCTCAAGAAAGAAAGAGGAAGAGGAAGTTCAGAGCAGACACAGACTCATCCCTGTTGGAAGAAAAATTTATGAGTTCTACAATGCTCCCATCGTTAAATTTTGGTTTTACACAGTAAGAAGTTTTTCCTGTTATAGTACTACTGTTTGGACAAATACCGAAATTGGATTGAGGTCATCATGTGTATTTCATTGAAAGTCTGCATCTGCATGCATTGGACGGCTTACCCACAAATAGTTTAATAAAAATCTTTTCTGGAGGTCAGCTAGCACTTGCAAAACTGTCTTTAAAGACTATCATTTCATTCAGGAAGTTAATGGTTAAAATTTGAATGACTGTGTATGGGGTTTTTTTAAATACAAGTGGCAGTTTGCTGCAGGCAGTGCTCCCAAGGAATTCCCACTAGGAGAACTTCCAAAAGGAGAGCTCGCAATAGTAAGCCCAATGGGAGGCTGGGCTGAGTCAGGATATCAAATTGCATAATAATTGATGAAAAAAGCACAGATAGAGCACATCTTTGCTTGGAACATTTTTCCTTTGTTCTGTTTGATTTGTCTGCAGATTGTCTCTGATAGTGTTTGTGTTAGTACCCATAAGATAACAAAGACACCAGTACAGCTACTGTACATTTTTTCAGGGACAAATTGTGTCAAATCAGTATAATCTCCTAGTGTTATAAAGAAACAGAACTTACAAAGGGAGCAGAAAATATAAGTTTTGACTAAAGTAGGACAGTATCAAAAACTTCACACGGTATTCTCATAGATTAATTAGTAACTGTTACGTTAAAGTTGCTATGTGGATACAAAGCTTTTTGGCAATTAGTCCTCAAGAGTAGATAGTAATTATTCATTGTCAGGCAGGAAGCAGAGATTGGAAAGGATTCCATTATGGTGTCTCCTACATCAGGTGCTATCTGATACTTTCATTCAAAACTTGGACGATGGAGTAGAGATTATTTATTAAATTTGTGAATTGCACTAGAACGTAGAAGGATAAAGTAAAAAAGTAAAATGAACACAGAATGTAATCCTTTCAGTCTTCTTGGCTGGAATAGTCCATTGCTGTTCAGCTTCTCTATCATGTGACAAATATGGACTGATCTGAAGGACACCAAAAAAAACCCATCACAAGAAAAAAAATGTTTCCAGAGGTCTATAAAACATGACTGACTTAAGGGGAAAGATTTAAGGAAGTGAGGTTGTTTTCTCTGGAGAAAAAGAAGTCTTCGGAAGGAATGTAAAAGTCTTAAAATATGTTTAAGTAACTGCAGAGAAGAACAAAATGGAATAATCTCCACAGCCTTGCTGAATAGGACACAAAGTAATGGTTTAAATTGCAGCAAGGAAGTTCTAAGTAAGATGTTAGGAAACAGTTTTTAACTGCTCTGAGAAGTACTATCATAAACTGTGTAAGGAGATGGTAGATATTCCATTATTAGTGATTTTTAAGTCTATCTTATCAAAACATATGTTCACTATGGTACACTGTAATTAATCCTGTCTCAGCATCATGGAATTGGCCAGATGATTTCAGGTGGTCCTTACCAATTATATTTTCCATCATTCTGCTGAATGCACAGCAAATCACAAAGAATGCATCTTTATCTAGGTAACTTCTTATAAGAAAAATTGCCCTGCTGAGGTCCAGGCAATACTTTTACAGATATCAGGAACAATTCACATCCACAAAGACTAAACTGTGGTGGATGTGGCTTATGCTAGCAAATAACTCCAGCGTGGCAACCTGGAGTAACTACTTGCTGAACTGTGTGTCCATTGAACATTAATCAGGTTGATGAATCTAGAAGCTGCTCATCAGCAGTCTAGTCTCATTATCAATTGCAGTATGTATTATGCATAACCAGAAAAGTCTTTACACTGTAAACAGAGAGAAGTATTCTGGCTCTCTGTGTTAGTTCAGTTCTGAAATGGGACAAAAAGATCAATATTGCATTTCCATTTAGACCTGTTCCTACAGTTTTATGTCCTGAGGCAGGCCTCAATCAAGGTCACTTATTAAAGCTGGATCTTAGCTACACTGAACTTGAAGAGCAAATTAAGGTGGATTCTGGCTGTACTGCTTGACTGGTTGGGTATATTGAGAAAATCCTGGAAACCAAAAACAAAACAACTTTCAGATGAGGGTTAAAACTGCACAGCCTATCACACTTTTTACAAGTACACAGGCAGAAGTACTAATCATAGATTTCAAAATAAATCCTCCAAATTTTACATTCCACAGTCCAAAATGCAAGAAAAGTGACTATACTTACGGTTATTGTATGACATTTTAAATAATATTTAAATAATTTGAAATTTTAAAATAATTTTATTATTCTGTATCTACCTATCTACAGATTTATCCACCTTCATTCTTAAAATACATAAGAATGGGTTAAATGTGGAAATGTTTGTGTAAGTAACATCTTGTCTCAGCAGATGAGCCAAAATAAACAACATTTTCTCAACCAAAAAAACTTTAAACTTTTTCTCTGGACATGCAGTATTTTCAAAAGTCAACTACTCTATTCTGTTTTGTGACTGTTATACTGAAAACCATGACTCAAAGGTTTAATCTCACAGATTACTTGAGGAGAAGAAAATGGCCTTCCCCTTTTAACAACTAGCTTTAGTCTGAGATGCTAGCAGGATCTAAAAGGCCACGTTTCTACCTCTTCTGAGGAGGAATAGCTGAAGAAGAAATTGAACCCCAAAACAGAGTTATCTTCTAAACATCAAAACAGCTTTGCCCTAAATTTTGCATTTTGGGACCACTTCACTTTATGATCATTTAAGTATTGCAATCAGTGAGAAAAGTGGAGGGTAGTCTTCCTCTTGAAGCACTTTCCTGCTGGTACAATTTCCAGGTTTGTCCCTTACCGTAATGAGAATTTGAGTATTTTCTATAGAATGGGACAGCATCCATAGGAGGGCAGGGAGCAACCCACCCTAGAAACTTCTTAGCAGGCATTCTTCTCCTCAGTTTCTTCAGGCAATGTCCTCAAGGGTGAAAAAGGCAGCCCTTAGGTCTTTCTGAAGCCATGTACATAAAAGAAAAAGAGGCTTCAGTTACTGGTGTAGTAAACTTTCAAAGAACCTTGAGTACCAGCATGGACAGCTGTACCCATGGCAGGTTTGACCACAGCATGGGATCAAGACACCCTCCTGGAAGACAGGAGCAAGTTACAGGTCTGGGGAAGCAAAAGGGAATGTCACTCATTGTCTGAAGGGCCTGTTTCTTGGGTTAAAGTGGTGCAGTTTCAGCATCATTTTATTCTTAAATCAAGATGCTTTTTTCTTTTTCTTTTTCTTTTTTTTTTTTTTTTGCCATGCAAACAGTTTCAGCAATTTTCAGTAAATTTGGATTGACCAAAAAAAAAAAAAAAAAAGAAACAAACCCAAAACCAAAAAACTCCAGCACCTCAAAAGAAAACCAAGAAGAAGCAAAAGCCCCTAGTTATACTGAGGGTCTTGTAGTTTCTTTCACCTTTGTAAGCTTAATGTCCCTATTCTTTTGCCATACTAACTGCAAATGCTTACCAAAGGCTGCTGAGTCAAACCAAATTAATAAGATTTGCTGATAATTAATTATCAAGAAGATCTAAGAGGAGGGGTGTTAGATGACGGTATCACCTCCCTTTTTGCACTATAGATGAAGGTGTTATTTCAGCTAGGGGGGTGTGTGTCCAGTTTTGCCTGCCCAGACAGTTCTTCTGACTCAGCTGACACCCTCGATGCTGCCTGAAGTCAATATTGCTCTCTGTTTCCTTTAGGAATGTTAAGGGAAGACCAAGCTTTAGATCTGAGTGTTGCAATCCATCATCACACACAAACCAAAAGACAAATTTCCTCCTGTGTTTTATGTAGACAAGAAGCAGTGGTTCATCTGTCTGTCTTCTCCGTACTGACAATTACAGCCAATGTAAAGGATTCTTTTGAATGTCCTTCAAACTAGCAACTGGAAGAAAAGGCAGAACCCTGTGGCTTTTACACAGAGCAGAAGTGATGTTCTCTAACAAATACAAGACTAGAAATCCTGTTCTGTGAGGTGATGAACACAGAAATAATCCTACCCGAAAGTCTCACACCCCTCTGTAGTTGTTTCATCTTAAATCTAACACCAAATACACAATAGATGTGAGTAAAATGAAGTTGAGAAGAAAAAAACTGCATTGAAATACAGATACCTGGAATAAGCTTTCTGCAACTATGACTAAAAGGTCCATGCACAGAACTGAGTCATCTTTTCTCTGATTTAAACTTGCCTTAAGATGCATTTTCTTGTAGGGCTGATGTTTGAAAGGCAAAGTAGACAAGCAGTTGGATCCCAGCCACCACAGAACTCAGCCACAGCCATTGACCCTTGCTGCAGCCCATGCTCCAGGATGACACTTGGGTTTCTCTGAGTTTTATGAATGTGACGATCCAATTTGCCTGTCTTGTCTTTTTTTGACTGACCATTTCATTACATTCAACATGTAGAAAGAAAGGAAAAAGAAACTAAAAACGTAATCCACACTTTCCACTGTATCAAAAATCAGACCAGAAGGTAGATATATTAGACAAGGAAAAGCAAAACAGTTGTATGTAAAAACTTGCAAAAAATATAAGGCCAATGAATACATGGCTATGCCTGGATACTTGCTGCAGCAATGTCAGTAGGAGTACCAGTGTTCTGGGAAGGAATCATGGTATATGTTAGGTCAGTACTACATTGGGTAGGAAGACCTGTAGCAGCACCGAGGACCCTCTGGGCTTCAGGCAAGGATTGTGCAAAAAGGATTTGGAATGCTAGAATTAGCCTAGGCTAGCTGAATAGGGAGAAAAAACACAGAGTAGAGGTGTTAGAGGAGTAAAGGGTATTATAAACAGATGAGGGAGAAATCTTCACACAGGTAACTTAGTTTGGGAGCTTGCGTAGCAGTATCAGAGTTCCCATTGTTGTGGGATCATCCAGGGCAACTGCATTAATACAGTTCTGTTGGGGAGGCAGATGTAGCTGGAGAGAACGTTTGTGCACGTATTTTGCAGATTCCACACTGTAAGTGATTTAATGTGAGCTTTTTCAGGCAACCCAGAACCCTGTCTGATTGTTCTTTTATCTGTTTAACCCTGTGTACAGCGGAATTATGAGTATCAAATCATATCCAAGAAACTCCCTCAGTCATATAAATATCATGAGTATTGATATTCATTTTGTTTCTTTACAGCTGGCATATATAGGCTACTTGATGCTGTTCAATTATATAGTGTTAGTGAAGATGGATCGCTGGCCATCTACACAGGAATGGATTGTCATCTCATACATTTTCACTCTGGGAATAGAGAAGATGAGAGAGGTAAAGTCACCCCAACCAAGAAAGACAGAATGAAAAAGGAAATAACCACGGTTTTTTTAATTTTAATATCCATTTTTCTTATTTTTCTCAGGATAATTTTTGATTAATGGGCTTATCATAAAATTGCCTTTTTTTTTTTCAGAAAAGCAGATGGATTGTTAAAAACACAGAACTAAAAAATCTATCTTCCTCCATTTTAAAATCAAGAATCTCTCTGCCACAGAATTTGTCTATTCAGACTTCTGTATGATGCATGTTTAACAGCATTTGCAAGTATGGGGAGGTCTTCTGACATATCTTAAGGCTCAGCTACACTCCTTGAAATGTGGTCCAGAAACTACTGTATGTTTCAGGGAGAGGAAAAGGAGAAATGCTACAACAGAATGGACACAGAGACACGGTGATAGCATGACAAGCAAAGAGTCCATTTTCAATTCCCCACCCCAAATAGAGTTCATTCAAAATTTACAGCTGTTCTGTCTGTCCAAGTATTTCATGCAAAGGCTTTAAATAAAACCAGCTATATCTGCAGTAAAATTTAGATACACATTGAATATTGCAGCCCACTTCTAATAGGACTGTCCCTTTTTAATCTTGAGAATTTTTTACTAATTATGTCAAGCAAAAGCATGCATCTCCCTAAAGATGGTAAAGCAGACATGGAGAGGAGAGCCAGAGTATTTAAGGTGGCACTCAGTCGATAGCCAGAGTGAAGTTGTTCTGCCATCCCCTGCCCCTCATGGTCTCTCCCACTTGCAGCTACCACTGTGCCCTTTTCACTTGGCCAAATGTGCATTTATTCCACAATGACACCAGAGGCCAAATTCAGCCCTGATGTGAGTGGGTGCGAGTCCTTCTGACCTCAGCTGAAACAGCACATTTGTACCCCTGGGCTGAATTTGTTACCATTTATATTTGTATTTTCTGCAGAAAATGCTTTTGAGGATGAGACTAAAAATGGTCTTGCCACAGCCACTTAGACTTCAAAGACAGATTTCAAACACTGTATGGTAAACTCTACATTATAGATAAAAAGAACAGAGGAAAATACACTACTTGTGTGGCCTATAATGAGGGTACTTCACTAGCAAGAAGGGAAACAGTGGTAGTAGCCACATGAGGACTCTGCAACAGTGATGGAGACAAAGCACTGCTGGCTCAGTAGGTGGGAGGCTGTTGGCAGCAGTCGTGTGTGCCATTTTTGTCTAATCATTCACCCCAAATTGTCTTTTCTACAAAAGTTTATCAAGAACATTTGTCAGAATGGATTTCTAAGCAGATGTTAGAGATTGTTCACAGAATATGAGCCTAAAATTCATTCTGAAAAATGAATTATAAGAAAATTATAAGAATGGCATTCATCTTTTTAAGGAACTGTATGAGTCTGCTCAAATGTTCAAGCTAAATATAGAAAATTAAAACAAATAGCTTGTTAACTTACTAAAAGCTAGGAATTATTCATAGAAATCACTTGAGGAATAGTTTCAACAGTAATTTGGAAAAACAATCAAGTCTCTCAAATGATCTTGCAAATAGAATGACAATAAATTCAAAAGGTAAGATTAATTATTTTTGTGAATTATATTCTCAGCTGTAGAACTTAATTTCAAAAAACGGGTCCAAGTAGTAGCTCATATCTCTCTGGATTAAATGCTAAATCCAAATCTTTATGGTTACTAATTATTTCTTGACAGTTTAATACACATTTTAGAATCATTCTCTTTAAATCTATGGCTTCTTTAAATGTGAATTTTCTGATAAAATATCTTTCTATACTTCTCCCTATATTCTAAGACTCTAACTAGGGTCAATAAATTTGAAAAACAGAAAGATATATTTCTTCTGATTTCATTATTTCATGCCTTTTTCTTTTAGGTATCTTATACGTAGATACAAGCTGAGAATGGTTGAATTTCTCAAAAAAATCAGAGAGTACATAAGATATTTATATGATAGGAATCTATCAGCTTTGCTTTTGGCCTGTGTGGCTTGTATCTGTTTACTATAGATTTCTTCAAGCTTAAATTAAGACAGCTCAGCTCCTTTCCTCTCCATGTCCTCTGTCCTTCAGATATTGATGTCAGAGCCTGGGAAACTGTTACAGAAAGTAAAAGTTTGGCTCCAGGAGTACTGGAACGTTACTGATCTCATAGCTATCCTCCTGTTCTCTGTTGGGATGGTTCTCCGTCTGCAAGATCTGCCGCTCCGGAGTGATGGCCGAGTGATATACTGTGTTAACATCATTTACTGGTACATAAGGCTATTAGACATCTTTGGAGTAAACAAGTATTTGGGACCATATGTTATGATGATTGGGAAAATGGTAAGAGAAGTTGGTGTACTCTTTCTGTGTTTTACCAGCATGTTCTTGACCCAGTGTCTTCAGCCAATGACATCACTGCAGATTTATCTGTATTTTTTTTACACATTAGCATTTTAATGTAATCTAGAAATCAGTGATTTATTATTGATTTGATATTATTGATATATTTATATTATTGCTGTTTTGATATTATTTGATATAATTATATATTTATTATTGTTTTATTATTGGTTTGATTGAATTTGATATTGATTTGATTTTTATTGATAGTGATTTATTATTAAATTAAAACTTTGAATTAAAGTGTAGAACTCCAGAATGGAGGAACAGACTCTCCCTGTTCTGTTAGATGAGATATTGCTTGTCTTTCTCTGATATCCTCTTCAACAGCAAAGCCATCTATCCTACACCTCTGTGCACCATTTGCAGAAAATACAAAGGATGCTAATTCACAACTAGTTGTAAAGGAAGGTGGTTTGTTAAGGTTAAAAAAAAAAGTGTTTGGTACCTTGAGACTCTCAAAGAAACTGTGTTGTAATAGGTGTGATATGTTCAAAAATATACCAGTTATTATTAAGACTGTAACCTTTCTATAGTTTGCTCCATATCCATATGTTCTTCCATCTTTCCTGTTCAGGTGTGTCCTTGTGAGATGAGAAATCCATTTGCAGAACTACAGCCTCTGTCCCCTGGCCACATCACATGTACAGGATATGGCAGGAGTATGAATAGTTTATGTAATAGTATACACATACAGGAGGAACAGAGAGATATTTGCTGTCAGATGTATAACTTTTGACTTTCTGGATTTTTCTTCTTACATTTCAGCATAAAAGTTGCATTAAAGCAGCATTTTGCTTATATTGAGTTAAAGACCATTGCTGACTTTACAGATGCATGTGCACGTCCCTGATATTTGAGTACCTGCACATGTAGCTAATGTACACGCTCATGTTTTATATGCAGTTATCCAGCCTTTCTTGTGTAAATCATTGCTGTTTCACACATTCTAGGGTTTAAGTTTTATTTTTTAAAAAATATAATTAAAAAATCTTTGAAGCTGGCACTCAGTAAAAAATTAATATTAACTTTTCTAAATACAAATAATACTGCTGTCGGATCACTATGTGGATAATAATCAGCAAGTCCAAACAGGCTGTCTGGTGTGTTTGCCTTGCAATGGTCCTTAAAGAGAAGACCCAGCCACACTCCTTCCTAACCATCACAGGAAAAGGGGACGTAGATTATATGCATGGAATGCCTAGCCCTCCTTGATATTACACCAGTCACAACAAGGTCAGTGATTCTAAGCAGGTATAAAATTGAAAAGCAAAATATATGTCCAGTTAGGCTCCCTACCCAACAGGTGATCAGAGAACCATTGGTTTATCCCTTCAATTTACCAGCTTTCAACTCTAAACCCACAGTGGTGGGTTTGACAAAGAACAGCTTAGTGGGGAAAAAAAAAAAAAAAAAGATAGAGGGAAAACACAAACGAAAGTGGTTGTCAAACGGTTATGTCCTGCAAGCAAGATTTTGAAATGTGCTACCTTTCTTCAATGAAGCCAATAGGATGTTGATGGGAGGGATTTTGCAGAGCTCCAGAGTACAGAGAAAACACTCAACAGTTCTTGATGGAGGTTACTGTAAAAAGACAGCAGGACAAGAGAAAGGGCAAAAGATGACGTGCGTTATCATCTGCTTCTTTCATGCCCCAACTGGATTATGTCACTCCATCAGGGGATCTGGTGGAGGGACACTGGGGCTTACAGAATACACAGTGTACAAAACTCCTAGTAAAACAACTACTCTCCTACTCTGTTGTATTTTTCACAGAGGCCATGCACAAAAAAGTTTCAGAGTTGTGGTGCTAGCAAAGGCAGTCTAAAAACAGGTCAATAATAAACAGGTTGACCATGAATAACAAACTTCTAGTAGTCAGTGTTACGGATTGCTGATTGCTGATAGGAGCCCCACTTCACCAATAGTATAAACAGTGCTTTATTTTTCTCCTGGGGTCAACACAGAAAGGAAGTGATTGAAATCAACAAAACAATATAATTTCCATTCCTTTGTCATCCTCACATCTCTATAACAGATCAAGCCTTACTCCACTTTCTGTGGAAAACAAATGCAGGAAAATCACTAGCCTCTGTAGGCTCAGCACCCACTCAGAGGGTGCTAAATTTAGCTACCAGAGTAATCTGAAGTTCTGGGCAACTTTTAAAGGAAGGAAGTTCTTTTATTTTATGCCTTCCTGTTATTTCATTTTCGTCCAACTTTCCATGCACTCAGCAACTCTGGCACATCCACTTTCCCACACATGCAATGCCCAATGGGTCTGAGTTACAAAAATTTACCTCTTCCATCTATTTTTCTGGCCAACCTATTCCCCTGTGTAATGGCCAGCCCATTTATATCATGCACAGATTTCACTGGGAGTTGCACCTGCTTGCTCCAGGCTGCAATAGGCTCCCGTGTGGATTTTTGTTTAAATCACATGTCCATTTACCTCCTTGGGTTCTGTTGTCTTCACTTCATGGTCTTGCAAGTACTATTCAGTACTATGGAGAATATCAAGTTCCATAGTTCATACATATTTCTACAGAGTAAGCCCACAACAGCTATTGAGTTCCTCAACAGACCATATTTAACATCTGAGCTTTTATCCTGAGCTTCTATCGAGAGCAAGTTTTAGACTCAGGAGGAAAAATATTACTCGATCTTTCCATTGTTAAGAAACTTTTTCTTCACCTGCCTTTACACTGTATCCAACAAAATAGCTGTAATAGATTTTACCTCTGGGCAACAGGAACAAATATGCAAGTGAAATTAAGCAAGAGGCAGGAATGGGCTTGAGAGGTTTAAAAGCAATGGGCTAAGGCAGAGGTGAAGATAGGAGGAGGAAGCTGAATGGCCAAGTTTATTATTATCCACCAACTTCAGTAACAGAATATGATTACTATAATGTGCTTTTCTCATCTTCGCACAGTGATAGATTTACTCCCTTTTTATTTGGAATGAAATGAAATCACTGTGACATGTCAAAAGAGTCAGAGGCCATCAGTTCCCTTGCTGTGTGGGAATGGCTGCATTTTCTTAGCTTCTCTGCAAATAAGAAAGGAGAAATGGAGCCAGCTTGTTTATAAAACTGCACCAACAGTTCTTGATTTTATGACTTTTTAAAATCAGTGACTAATGAGTTCTTCAGAATGATTGAAATGGCCATTGCCTTGTTAAAATAGCAACTGAAATTTGACCCTACAGGCCCATTAGAGTCAGTGGAAACTCACCCACTTATTTCACTGGATTTCAAAAAAGCTACTAAGGTTTTAGGAAGATACCTGACTGAAGGAGGGAAAAGCTAACATGCAGCTTCAAAAGAGAATAGCACTGAAAATTTAATTTCTTCCAACATGAGGTCAAATCTCTGTGAAAAACACTGGAAGCATTTAAGAAAGTGTCTTAAATTGACAGCAAATACTCATTGTGCTTATTAGCTTGCATGACATTTAAAAATAGGTGTTATATTGCATCATTTCATGTTATATATTTCTACCTGAAACAAAGTTTAATCAGAGAAGAAGGGAGGAACCAGGTTTCATCTCAAAATTCCTTCCCTAAAAGCAATAAGAATTAAATGTAATTATGCATTTCAGGATGCTCTCTGAGGTACAATGATCTGATCCTTGTCAATGAGGTTTTCTTGAGAGATTAATGCCCTGAATAACATAGTGATTTACTTCTGGTTTTTAATTCCTTAAGGCATTTATTTTTCTCTCTAACCTCCCCGGGTTTTCTTTCTTTCCTGCATTTTTTATGGACCTCAAGACTCCTGTATTCCCCTGTTTTGTTTCACTTGTCGCCAGTTCCTTCTTTCCAGCTTCTTGAGTCTCCTACCAGAGCCCTGCCCTACAGGTGTCTTTCTCCTACAGACTGTCTCTCATAAATATGAGAATACCCTTTTCTGTTCACTCTTCTGTATCCCTCTCTTTTCTCTCTTAGCTGGTTTCCCAGTGTTACTTTGACCTCAGGTCTTTCTCCTTGTGCTTTAAAACTGAAGAACTCCCGCAGCAGTGCCGGATCCACCTGCTGCAAATGAGTCTCCTCTTCCACCAGCTCTTGCCATAAGCAATCCTTCTCTTGAGCTGCAGCAGGTCCCCCATGGAGTGATACCACTTGAGGTGCAGGTTGGTTTCACACCTGCCTCACAGGGAAAGCAGAATGCAAGCGAGACAGAAAATGCAGAGACTGAAGGGATTAAAATTCATAAGATTTAGAGGCGTTTTGGTTCGAGTTTTGGCCAGAGACAAAATTTACACCCAAAACTGTGAAACCCAGCTCTGTCATAACCAGCGTTATGACTGAAGACCTCTAAGTAAACCTGTAACTAAAGGTTTTAAAGGGATCTTACCAGGGCCTTTACACATTCATTTTGGTTTATAAAGCATCTCCTCTGTAGCTGCGTGATGCCCATTGCTCTGCTCTCTGGAGGCTCTTTCCTAGCACAGCTCCGCTTCTAATCTTCAGCCTCTATTCAGCACCTCCTAGGATTGCTGTCCCACTTTTTCGAGGAACATTTTGAATGGGCAGGCACTGTTTGCAAGCACTAATTAAACTTGTGCATATGCTAATGTGGCCTTCAACAATGGAGAAGAATAGAGTCTGTGTTATCTGCATTTATTTTTTTTTAAATATGGCCTTTGTCAGACTCCCCCACCAAGCTGATATCCAGTCCAGCCAGTATCACAGCTTTCCTTTCTCACTGGTTACCACCATGGTGTCCCTTATGTTGCAGCAACAGGCTGTTCTGCCACCCGTTACTCCTTATGTAGATGCAGCTTCCCTCCTTTGCTCCAAGACAATGACCACCAGTGAATAAAATAATTCATGTCAGCCCTTTTGTTTTGGTACAGTTGCCACTAAGTACCTATAAACAATACATCATATCCTGACACAGGCCCAAACCAGACTACATTCTTGTTCAGGCAACTGATGTGACCAGATGGTATCTTGTGTTTTCAACCCTATTCATAACATTTAAATCATTTTTAAAAGCAACAGTGGGTAAAACCAATGACCCAATAATACCACTTCACTTCTTTGAAAATAAAATTTGTTATGTGTAAAACTGAGAATGGCTTTTCAAAATTCATTTTTGAAAATTCTGTTTCTAAGATCCACAAACTTTTTTGCAGTGTATAAAAATAGCAATATGGGCAAATAATTTCCTCTAATTCTTGACCCTTCTCTCTCTCTTTCTCTCTTTTCCTGTCATTACATTCAGATGATAGACATGATGTACTTTGTCATCATCATGCTGGTGGTTCTGATGAGCTTTGGTGTCGCAAGACAGGCTATTCTCTTCCCCAACGAGGAGCCTTCATGGAAGCTGGCGAAAAACATTTTTTACATGCCTTATTGGATGATCTATGGGGAAGTGTTTGCAGACCAGATAGACCGTAAGCAAGTTTATGATTCTCGTACTCCAAAGTCAGGTATCAAACTTTGATCAGATGATGTCCTATTAGATCGTATGTGTGCTCAATAAATGGCTCAGAATAGAGGAACTCCTTCATCACAGAGAATGGTCACAAAAATATTTTTTCAGCTAATATTGGGATGTCAGATTCAGAACATGTTTCTGGCATCACTTTGTAATTACTTAAACAGAAATCTGTAATGCTAAATTATCTTGCATATAAATAATGTTTTGAATGGTTCCTTTTTACCACTTTGGTGACGGGAATACCCTCCCAGGTATCCATCATGAGTTTGTTGGTATAACTGGGACACAAAAAGTCATGTCTTTTTTTCTCATCCATTGGTTTGATTTTAGACCTAAGTGCTTTTTACGTAACTTCATACTGAGCATCAAGTCTAATAACACTGGGTTAGACCTCCAGCTCCTGCACGACATGAGGATCTAATCCAATGTGTTTTCTTTTCACTGTTACCTACTCACTGCCACCACCTTTATGCTAAACCATGTGATGCAGTTCTTTGGGGACAGGAGATCCCTCATCAGAATTTTGCTTTATTTATTTATTGGAAGGCAAGACTGTGCTGACGTCAGTGCAAACAGAGCAAAAGCCTGTATTTTCTATACTGTGTCCTCAGGATTCATTCGGCTGGTGATCAGGAAAATGCCAGTTTTCTATTTAAATTAAACGTCCTGGTGCCATCCAGTGCATTACACCAAAGGAGAGGGGTGGTCATGAAAAATGATCCAGTAGATGAACAAACTAAGAATCACAAACAATGTATCTTTAGCAAACACTGACATGTAACTGAAGTTCATTGTTCCTACTCAAATATGTGTAAGCCCTGGCAACATTTAGGAGTGAGTGTTTTTCCCAGTGACAGATGGTATCTGTTGAAGCTCTGTTTAGGATACTCCTTTTTATCCTATGTACCACCTTAGGAAAAGGCAGTGTTTTCATAATTTATCTTCTGTTTGCTCAGTACTGACCAAGTTTGAAAGGAAAACAGTTGTTGATTTATCCTGAGATGGTTAAGGTAATAAATGTAACTATATGACCAATAATTTCCCCAGTTTACATAGAGTTTCAGATGGACAGACATATAGATATCACATGGCACATATTTCAGCAGTTCCATGTTCATTTCTTCATCCTGGTTAGCACAGAATCATTACTGTGGATACAGACAAAACCTCTTTTTTATGTTTACTTCCCCGCTTTGTTTTCAGAGGCAGCATGGCATGCAAAGAAATAAACAAATACCTAAAATCACACAGCTTCTCACTGCATTTAGCTTTTTACCCAATTCCCTCATTTTTATCCTTTTTCCTTTTATTTTCTTTTTAAAAATTCATTTCATTCCAAAGGCATAATAGCTGGGCATATACTTCATCTTGCTCTAAAAGCATAGTAGAGGTATAAAGGTTTATCCCATTAAACTATAACTTCCTTCACAAGCAGAATTCTGTCTGTCCCTCTACAAGTGGCCATTTATTGATGTTGTACTAAGTAACTACTGTAGCGCAACAAACATGGCAATTGGCTGAATAAAAAGTTCTTGGTATTTGTAATGAAGTGCTGATTATAGTTTAGAACTCTGAAACCTGAGAAACTGAAGTGTCTTTGAATGAAGCTTGGTTTTTAAGTATGAAAAGAGGGTGGCAGGCTCCATATCCTTGCATGAGGATTTAGGGGCAGTCTTGTGTGGTATTTGGATGCCCAGCATTTAAACTCTGCACAGAGATGCAGCATATTTACTTCTGAGGATTAGCAAAAGAAAAATTCTTGATAGTTTCAACCCCAGCTATAAGTATAGACGTTGTTGTTCTGGCTATGTCAAGGAAACTAGGAGTTGCAGCAAAAATGGTGATGCCAAAATGAAAAGAAGCACCTAGATCCTCCTTCCTGAGACACAGATGATGCAAGGAATTAGAATCTGCCACTCTTTCAGGACAAAATGCATGTAGTATGTCATGTCTGTCTGAGGCTTGGTTGTCTCAAAAATGTTACCACTGTAATGGACTGGGAGCATGAGCAAATGGTCAGTGATGTTGTTATACAATCAGAAGGAGCTGATTGGCACCCAAAAGGTTTTACTAGTATACTTACATTTTTTTAACTATTTGGAAATTTGTTGTTATATATATTTTCCAAGTTATTCTAAGCTAAATCAGCCACTCTATTCATGTTAGAGTACTACAGTGTTTGTACTTTCTCAAATAAGATAAACATGTTCTAAAATTGATATGCTACATCTAAACAGCAATTGAACTTTATAGCTTGGGGCAGATTTTTTATTACTATTATTTTAGCAAACCAAAAGGGGGTTTTTGTGGTTTTCTTTATATTTTGGTATTTAATATTGCAACATTATTTGCAAGTCTGGGATTCAGTCCTGGTCTTGGAAGTGAATATACATTGGAGCCAGACTCTCAGAGATTATCCTAGTGTCTGAGAAAAAAAAAAAAAAAAAAAAAAAAAAAAGTATGCTACTCTAAAATTTCTAATTTATTTTTCTTTTTTTTTTTTTCATTTTCTGTTGCTTTGTGAAGTGTACCATTAAGGTTGACCAGATACAATGTCTGAATCCATCTTATCAGCTGGCAGCTTGTCCATCCAGTGGGTCTACTCGGGTTTTTGTCTCAACACACTGCACTGTTAAAACACTAGCTAAATGCCTCACTCTCAAATAATGCATGTCATATACATTTAGATTGTTTACTCATAATTTTTGTATTCTTTTTTTTTTTAAATACATATGCTAACTGGAGTGTACAGTAGTGTCCTGTTTGCATGTGATCTCATCTTCAACTCAAAAGTGGGGACAGAATCATATCCTCACTTCTGGGAGTATGAATACACTATTCAGTGGTGTCATTTGTTACCAGTGATGTATGTACATAAATACTACATTCCTACAAATTCCTGACTATCAACCAATTGTAAGGGGGGGAGGGGGGAATCAAATGAGTAAATCTCTTAGAATTGTGTTAGAATATTCAGGTAAAATCCAACAAAAAGAGCAAAACCAGCTTCAAAGTAGTTCCTCTCAGACTGACAGTTCATCCCAGCCACATTAGCTGAGGGAAGGAGATCCCCGTCAGGGAACCTTATGATGGTATATGCGACTGCCTCACTTTTAGGCTGCCTTTCCTAATCCAGCTGAGGGATCCATGGGACAACAACAAGCCACTTAGGTGCTTTAGTGAATGCCATCCAGAAGGAAATCCACAAATGCTGTAAAATTTCTCTGTCAATTCAGTTCACTTACTTTGGCAATATTACCAGCTATATAGCAAAAAAATTCACAACAGAGTTGTCACATGCAAAGAACTTTGTTTTCACCTTACCAAGCTATCTGCCCTGCAAAATATTATGGATACAGAAGTGTATATATACTGAAGACGAGAGGATTGTCCAGGAAATTAGTTTTCTTGGTAAAAAATGTAGATAGATGACATAAATGTCAACCTGAGAAGTGGTAATCACCTGTAGAAAATCAGCAGCAGACCTCACATTTTCCTATATTCAGAAGGGAAAGCAGCTGAGAGTGCTGTTCGCCAACATGAGTCTGGGTTTTTTGGTTTGGCCTGTTTTTCAGATTTGCCTGGTGTCTCACATGTCAGATTTGCATCTGGATTTTCTTTCCAGCTGACAGTATTTCTAGTGCCATCTGTAATCTGAAGATCAATCTGAGCTGTGCTTGTTCCCTCTGCCTACTTCCTTATTGGAAAAACCTACGTAGTTTAAGAGAAAAAGATGGGGTCCTTCTCTTTCACTTGTATTGGTGAAATGCCAAATAACCAGAATGCTGTTGTTTCAGAAGATGAGAGACAATTATACACAGGTTTTAACTATCCAATAAACTTAAGAAGGAAGTATAATTACTACAAAAGACTTTTAAAAAATTCTTTAAATTTCTTAGTCTGTTAGATTTATTAATTTTTTGAAGTTTTTGAAGGTTTCTCAGTATAAGTGAAAATTTTATACTAAATTCTATACCTTCTCAGGGGTTTCATGCTTTTCATGTCTCCATAGGAGCTTTTTGTAAGGGCTGTCATTTGCGTAGATCATTCTGGAACTAGAACAAATAGAGCAGCTTTGCACAAAACAGAACAAAACGTACCTGTGTGCTTTTTTTTTTTCTGCATCTGTATTGCAGCTCTGCAGCACAGACAATATATTTAGCATTGTTAGACAAAGGCAGAGGATAAAATCTGTGCACATACATCATAATTTTGAAAATCTCTCTGGCCTGAGTTGCAGTAGTATTCCCCTTCTTAGCACTCCTGTTAGGCTATATTTTGGATTCCATCTGGTTGGATATTTTTAAGGGGTGCAGGATGGGAGGTGGAGGGAAAAAATAAGTAAAGAGGTCAAGAAGAATACAGGGATTTAATATGAATTATTATTAAAATATCAGCAGATTGAAGAGACACTTCAAAGTCATTTTTAATGTGGCTGAGGGCAAGAAGCAACACATAAGGTCACAATGCTGTATCAAAGTAACTTTTTCAAAGTAATGAGACACTGTTCAATTCCCTGGATGTTTCTGCTGATGAACAGAGCAATGGTGTGAGACTCAGAGTTCCCAGAGTTCAGCATTTTCTCTGTCAGTGAAGAAGTGGACAGCCCCAGGCATCTCACTTAGCCTTTATTCAACATTTACCTGCCTGGCAAGCTGGTAAGGTTGCTTAGACATTTAATTAAAAAATTATAAAATGCTTTCACATCCCTTGGGTTCAGTGCAGATCAAAATCAGAAGATGCCTATATACTCACAAAAAGGGTGATGAAAGTGCATTTAAAATGTCCAGACTTGAATTAAAAAAAAAAAAAAAAAACAAAAAAGATGGGTTTGTCTGTTAGTTAATATCTACTTATTGATTTCTCTATTGTTTAGAATTGTGATCATATGAACCCATTCTACAGATTCTTGTGATTTCAAAGTTTTCATCAAAGGTAAAAAGCTATTTGTTAACCAAGCTGTTCAATTATGCACTTTCCTCCCTCCATTATTTCCCACAACTACTTTGGAAGGGTGCAGCTGGGGCAAGAGTCACGACACAGAAATTTGCAAATATTTTTTCTGAAGCCCTCCACCCAATACACAGTAAAAATAAGCAGTGCCCATGTCATGACAGTAATGACAGCAGGGAAGCAAAGTCTTCCCAAGCTTTGCCGCTGCTTTAGGTTTGAAACACACAGAGAGACATGGGCTACTGCTGTTTAGTTTGCAAGTATTTCCTGGCCAGGAAAGAGGGAGGGTTAGGTATGCAGCAGGAAAGGCCTATACAGGAAACTGTAAAAGGGAGCCAGAAAGGAAAAATAAGCATAAGAAGAGACTGTGGAAAAGGAAACAAAAGACGCAAAAACTATGTACATCCACAGATGTCAGGATGAAATATTTGAAAGCTGAGTGAAGTTAATGTGTGTAATTGAAATTAAAACTCCAGCCAGTTATGATTTTCTAAAGCCTGGATTCAGGACTTTAATGGCCTCCGTTTATCCAATGGCCCGTATGTATCAGACTACCTGGGTTTTTCAGTTACCTGAAATATGCATACAGTTATAGTAACAGAATTTGCTTCAGCAAAACATTTCACTAGAATTAAGAATTCACAACAATTTTTGCTAAAGCAAGGCTGTAATGTAAAAAGATATGAGTCTGTTTTCATACCTGTTAAAATTGTGCTTTGAAAAAGCTTTTCATCACAATATGTTACTGCATATACTATGAAAATTACTGCATTTCTCAAAACATAATTAAAATGGTCAAACAGTGTTATGCACAAAAAGCAGGTGCAGATCTGTCAGGGACAAGGCACAACACTGAGCAAGTTAAAGTTTTGGCTTTATGGAAAGCGTGGCGTTACCACAATGGGAGCCCATGACACCGATGCTAATCAAATGGGGACCCAACGTGGTGCAGCCCTGCTCTGGAGTGAGCCTCAAGGGAAAGCATGGCAGAGATGGATAATAAAACTTGTGCTGATTAACATATCATATATATGCAATGTCCTGTTTTGCTCATTAGCGAACCCGCTGATGTAATGCCGGTGCTGTTGTCTGAATTCTGAGATCTGCAGGTGGCCTTTGCGTTGGTGCCATGCAGGGGTATGTGCAGGTGAGGGGGAAGCAAACTACCCCAGGTTACTGTAACAAGGAGATAAGACGTACTTGGGACTCTGTGTGCTCAGATGGGGGAGGCAAACTGTCCTGGGTTACTGTAAGAAAGTCTTCTCACACTCTACAAACAAAATTCTAATCTCTTAAATATAAACAGAAATTAATTATCTAAAAAGAATATCATTGCTACTTTTATCCTCTTGCCAGATACTTCTGTCCATTTTCACTGAGAAATTTCTGTTTCTTGTTTTCTGGCAATAATCATTTTAAACAGTTTAATTAATAGTGGGAAAAAAAATTTCAATTAATGTTACAGTTTAAAAATGGAATAAGATGTTAATTTCAGTGAGCTGCAACGGCACAGGCTTCTGCATTTTGGACACATATCACACATTTTTTCATGAGGCTAAAGGTGTGAAGATTAAGTGGTAGCTTAGTTCTCTATAAACTGAGGCATGAGATTAGTATTCCCTTGTTATTTAAAAACTGTTACTGCAACAGAGCATACAAAAAAGAAAAACTCTTGCAAACCTTCTGGACAAGCTGAACATCTATACATGTATAGAGTAGACTATGGGAACTTGTCTTTGTAGGAGGACTAATTTGGTCATCACTGTGTAGTATAAACTGACAGGGATGTATTAATTGCATTCTAAATACACTGTTGCAGGCAAATAAAGATGGATAAATCATTTTTTTCTTGGCAGTAGTCAAAGCTGATTTTTTTTTAATATTAAATTCTCTTTTTTTACAGAAAAAAAAAAATGGGATAATAGAATTGTAACCAGACTTTGAACTGAGTTTTTGATCTCATTGATCTAAGGTTTAAAATATGGTTTTGAAAAATTTCTCCCATTGTTACAATAGACATCACTTGTTCTGTTCTTCAGCATACAAAAGGACAACAGGTTTCATCAACTGATAGAGTGATTGTTCCATTACTGGTGAAATCATTACTGTGTTGTATTGGACTCTGTAGCCCTGAATCAACATGTAAGCAAGTTAAGCTTCCATGTAAGCTTCTGCACAAATAGAAATGTAAGTCTTACATCAAGTGCTGATACGAAGAGGTATTGAATGTCCCAGTTTCTGCTGGATGAAGGCTGAGTGCACATAGCCCTGTACTCACAGCAGCTCACAGATGGCATTTTGAATGTCTAAATAAAACGGCTGCTTGGAGAAGTGTGGGGAGCATGAAATCAGCACTAACTGAAACAAACTGCAAGGTGATGCTTCCTGAGAAATAAAAAATTGCATAGTCTCAGCCCGTTCCAGTAATAAAATGTACTTTTGTAAGTAGAAAGTACTAGTGACACTGTGGGTCCAGACACAACAGAGGTGCTTGGAAAAACAGTATTACTTATATTTGGCTTTGACATTTCTTTTTCTGTGAGTTGAACACTTTGTGAGAGTTCATGTTTGAAGCTGATGTATCCTGTATTCTTCTGTCCCATATGGCTATATTATTTCTTTATGTAATAGCCTAACAACTATATGTAGTGCCCAAAACCAAGTACCCAAATCACACACAATATCATATGATTGCCAGTAGACACCCACAGTTGAATCTCATGCTCTGTAAACCAAGGTTAGAAGGACATTTTTGAGAAGAAGTAATAGCTGGTATTGGAAATCACAGATTTGTTGACACAGGGTGGAATTTTACAAAACATACGGCATTGACAAATTTTGTCGTCTGTGAAATCAGTGGGAAACTCACACTGATATCAGTGCTGAGTAGTTTGCAAATTCCTCACTTGAACTTCTTTTTGATGGGGACAAGGGGAAGCTAGCTGTACTGCTGTGCAAAATTTACTAAGATGATCTGTATACATAAGCCACTTCTTCAGTTATTTTCTTGAAGAGCTGATCGGAGAGATACTAGGATGGAAGCTAGAAGACATAAACTGAACCCACATTTGCAAATGCAGATCACCTACCACAGCACATGGAGGCATGTTAAAAAATAAGCATGGAAAACTATTTCACAATGTTTTGCCCTTGCTTCAGTTCTACAACATTAATACTGAGAACATTTCGGTTCCAAAGCATTCAAGGAAGAAACAGGTGGCAGCTCCGCTCCTTATGTGTCCCTTTACCTGGTACAGTAAAGACTTGATAATCTCCCTCACTGTTTCTAGGCATGCAGTCAAAAGTCCTCAATAGCAGAGGGTCATTATGAATATGTCCCAGAGGGGCTCAGGGCATTGCAGTGCACAGCAATAAATGTCTACTCCTTAATTTACTTTCCCATATTTCATTTTCCTTATGCTATTTATCACATCCCTCTCTATCAATCAAAAAAGACCAAACTTTCACCATTAAAAAATAATACATATGCTTTTTCCAGGATTAAACATTTTTATTATTTCATTTGCACAGCCACTAATTACTACCAGAGTACTATATTTTAGCTGTATGGAACCAGACAGCATACTCACACCAGACATGCCTCCTGCAGTTTCTGAGGGGAGTATCTTGATATTCGTGGCAAATAACACACAATAACAAGAACTGCAGCTGGTGAAATCTGTGACAGCAAGTGCAAACTTCCTGGGGGGAACATCAATGCCACTGTTACTTGGAAGATATTGCTTTGGCAGGCAGGCCTTTATAAATATTTAAGTATTTCTGTCAAAAAGCACAGAAAAAATAAGACTCATTCCCACTTTGCATTGTTTTGCATTTTTGTTCCCAGCTCCTTGTGGTCAAAATGAAACCAGAGAAGACGGCAAAATAATCCAGCTACCTCCCTGCAAGACAGGAGCATGGATTGTTCCTGCCATCATGGCCTGTTACCTCTTGGTTGCAAACATCCTTTTGGTGAACCTCCTCATTGCTGTTTTCAAGTGAGTGATACATTGCAAAGTACGGGCTTGAGGGTGGATGGACATTATTCACAACCCAAGAAGGCTGCTAAGCTGAAAACTCTAGATGAGAGTCATTTTCAGATAATGTGAGGGTGTTTTTCAGTAGCTTGTCCCCAGGGAATGTGGGAAATGCCAAGTTCTTCACATTGTCTTGTCTCCAAGGACAGGCACCTGATGGGAGTCAGGACAGAGAAGCCAAAAAATTTAAAGCTCGGTTATGCTATCATTCACTCCAAATACAAAAAAAAAAAAAAAAAAAACTTTCCTGTCTCACTCGGTTGTTGTAAGACTCAGTGGTTGTACAGAGCAGACATAAGCACTAGTAAGATACTTTTGAAATGGCTGCCACTGTGCTCTGCTGAAGCACAAAGTTATTATTTTGTTCTTCTTTCTCTTTTTGCAACAAGGAAAGATTTGTCACTACTACTGAAATGTGTCTAGTTAAGGCACAGGCATATCATCTTCAGCAAAGTACCCAAAATCATTTCAATCTGATGTTATTTTCCTCTTCTTACCTTCTAGCAATACATTTTTTGAAGTCAAATCCATATCCAACCAAGTATGGAAGTTCCAAAGATATCAGCTAATCATGACATTTCACGAAAGACCTGTTCTCCCACCACCTCTGATCATTTTCAGCCATATGACTATGATATTCCAACATCTCTGCTGCAGATGGCGGAAGCACGAAAGTGACCCAGATGAGAGAGACTACGGATTGAGTAAGCCTTAGACAATTTACAGGGTGGGACTTTCCAATGCCCTTGGTAATGTCTAGTGTTTCACATAAATGAAGGCCAAGTCCAGCACCTTGACTACCTTTCTGGTAGAGAACTACTTTAAACTGCTATGTTTTTACCTGAATCAGTTAGTTTCACTTGCATTGCCCAACCCCTTAGTTCTCCTCAGAGCATTAATGAGGCTATGTTTTTCTGTGGCTTTTGGGGAGTCTTCCTCCCTTTTTTCCTTCAAAGCAACGGAGTCTGTTTTTCTGTTGCTAGAGGTCTGTCATTGCTGGAATTCTTCTTACAGTCCATCACATTTCCAGATCTCAGTTTTATTCCTGGAAATACAGAGATAGCATTACTATTTTTTGAAAAACCAGTACATACTTCCTCTCTACACACTTTTTCCCTAGATAAGCTGAGAGATGGTGAGAAGTAATTATTTTGTAGACACATGTTCTCTCCTTGACACAGATTCAAACTGGAGGAGTGGTTCCTCCAGACGCTCTAATGTGAACTCCCATAAGCATGATGGAAAACCTATCAGATTATTCTGATAGCACTTTCTCTCCTCTGTCTAGTTCTTCAAAGCAGAAGATCTCCACCTCCCCCATTGTGTATGCGAGAGGCAGAGAGCTAAGGGATGTGTATGTCTTCCCCACATTAGCCCATGCCACACCCCACTTCCCTACAAGGAGGGAGCTGGAGCCATGTGCTGGCACTGGAGATGCAAGCGCAACCAGACTGCTCTCCTCCCACTCACATCCCATTCTCTGCCACAGCCCTTGCTGCTGCCTCCAGATATCAGCTCTTGCCATGTCAAACAGATCCTCTGTACTCTCGCACTCCTTTCCTAGCAGTGTGCTAATTTGATTACAGTTGTATTAGGTTATAGGTGGGCTTTGGCTCCCACCATCTCTCCAGGACCTGACCAGCAGCTGTGTTTCGATCTCATGCAATCAAAACACATTCGTGTTTGCCCAGCATTTGCCTGCTTAAGTGTTTCTGTCTCCAGAATTATATATAATTGAAGCCACTAATTTGGTAATTAGCTGCATCTATCTGCTTTCATGCCAAAATGCCAGATAAATTTGAAGCCTGCATTTGAAAGTTAAGTTAACGAATTCCACAATAAGAACAATGCAGTTAATTTCATGTATTAATCTTTGCCAAATTCACATTTTTCCATTGTTTCCACAGAACTTTTCATAACTGAGGATGAACTGAAAAAAGTCCATGATTTTGAAGAGCAGTGCATAGAAGAATATTTTAGAGAAAAGGATGACAGATTCAATTCCTCCAATGATGAAAGAATACGTGTCACTTCAGAAAGGTGCACTTTTTTTGTTTGTTCCCTCATAAATTGGTCTGGAAATGTGTTCCTGTTGTCATTCTCACCCTTTCATTCTTTTTCTTGAAAAGGGAAAGATTTGAGGTAATTTTTTAACAAGTCTTAACTAAAGAGTAGAGTAACAAAAGGCGGTGATTTTCTTTTCTCTTTTTTTTTCTTTTTTGATAAAGCAAATGTTCCTCAAAGTTTTGAAAACATCAGTCTTTTTAACCAGTTGTATTAGAACACAGTTGACGTAGTGAGAAACAAATTATTCTTGCATTTCAGGTTTTAAAGCAGAACTTTAGGTCACAAGTGGTCAGAACACAATGGGAGAGTAAATGAGAGCTCCTCAATGAATACTACAGCTTTAGCACTGACTTGCTAGCCATTCAGATAAAAAGGGAGCCCTGTTTCAGAATGGCCTTGCTAGGTAAGCTAGTTTCATTGAGAGCAACAGGGATCTTGCTATTAATTTAAAAGGAAATAGACATTTCACCTACACCAATAAAATGCACAGAGGACAAAGGTAATATGTTAATTTAGTGAAAGTTACCAGGCTTAGTAGTTAGTTAATTAGTCCTAAAAATTCGTAAGTCTGTTCATCTGCTGGAGTGCTCATGTGCTTTCATCACATAGCATCTGAGCATCAGAGTCAAATTTTGAGGAGAGAGTTTGTTGTTTGATTCATAGCACTGTTACCAATAAATATTTTAGGGCAATATCCTGTCAGATACTCATAAAATTTATGAACCACTGAATACTCCACTTTAACTTGAATAACAGAGGTCAGGTAAGTTGTCATTGTAATCAATCACACAGATATAACACTCTTCTCCTTATACATAATCTTCTAGCACTGCCCCTGATGTTATGCCTAAAATATTTTTTCTGTAGGCAAGGAAACAGGCTTTTTATTTTGTTTTGAAATAAATCTATTCAAGAGCAGGATTAGCAGATATAATATCCTTTAATCATCTGCATTACTGAAAACATCACTCCTAAAACACATATTTTAGAAAAGGATATTAGAGGGGAAGTATGGTAAGGCATGGAATGGCTTCTTCGTAAAGAATGGCCAAATAATCCAGCTCTACTTGGTCTGGAAGAGACAAATGCAGAATTAAATGACAGTGGTCTATATAATTTTGAGTACCAGGACAGGGTGAGTAGAAATCAATTGTTTGCTGTCTCTCCCAAAACAAGATATAGAGGAGCAACAGACTATTCTAGCAGGAGCCCAGGTTCAAAATAAACAAAAACAAGTTATTTTTTTCATGCAGCAAGCAGTGTTCTTAGAACAGAGCAAATTCTTGAAAGCTGATGAGGTCTAAAAGAAGCTGATGATGTCGGCTAAAAGTCTACACTGGTTCGAATGGAGACTAGACAAGCTTATGGAAGAGAAATCCAGTACAGATTACTAAATAGAGTTCATATGAGGCCCATTAAGTTCCTGAGCAGAAAATATTTAGAGACTGAAGAATACAAGGCGGGAAGAATTACATATGCTTCAAAATAAAGTAGTGGGCTAAATTGGTCTGTGGTCCAGCTAAGTACCTTTTTTGTGTGTGTCTTCCGACAGTCTAGTGGTCAGAGATCTAACCTGAAAATCATAGATGCAGGTTCAAATCTCTGGGGATAGCTTTCCTTGCCAATGAAAGAAGAGGGATGTTTGAGGTATGTAAGAAGTAATCCAGCTGGGACCTCCCCTACATTAGGCAAGTGCTCCAAGCCCTGGAAAATGAATACACAACAATCTGCCTTTGGACTCTGTATGGACCCTGTTTTATACTAAAAGAGCCTTTATCTCTATTTTAAATGAACAGCTTAAAGCACCGCCAGAGGGGAGTTTGTGATTATGAATCCTAAATGAAACAACACCTGATCTCCACAGCGAAATAGTTATTTAAAAATCCATTTACCTTATCCAGTAGTGTAATGTGGAAACCAGCATGCCTTCAGCTCTGAAAGGGACACACACATAGCAATCCAGTGGGGTACAAGAGGCTACTCCCAGACCCAAGCACACTACTAGGACTTGCAGCAATGAAACCCCAGGTGAATGCAGTTCTCATAATAGTTCTCTCCTTGCCAAACCAACTCCAATGCTCTACCACACAAGCCAAGTGCAAATACGTTAAAGATCTGAGCAATACTTTAAAGATGTTTGAGGAATCGAGGCTGCCTAAGTATCTTAAATAAAACACATTTTAAAAACTGGATGGCCAGCTCTGTCATTGTGCCTGCAGTTATGGCCAGGGAAGTATCCCTTGAAGTGTTCTTAATCTAAAACACCCAACTTCTTTTTTCTAACCTATGGCACATCCTCTTTTTCTGTTCTCATTCCCATCTGTTAGGATGGCTTGGCACTGTCTCATACATTGGATACATATTGCTGTAAGGAAAAGCACAGGTGCAATGCAGGCATCATACATGGATATTGTGATATTTGCCAAAAGGTTTATACTATCTCAAATACACATGAAGAAAAATCCAAAGCAAAACTTGGCCATTCTTATTTTGCAATCGTGCTCTAGTTTGAAACTCTTCCTGAAGAAAACACAGCTCTAGCTGTCTATCCACTTACAGATGATCCAACAACATGGAAAAATAGAAAATTTCACTTATTAAAGTATTTTAAGGACCAGATTATAACTGTATTTCTCCAGAACGTATCTTCTTATGTCCACAGTGTTTCGCTGATACGATTTTTAACACGTTTCTAGTAGGATTACTCCCAGACCATGGTGCTATTCTGTGTGATGAATGATTAAAGAACTGAACTGCAAATTAATACAAAATAATGTAAAAATTTAAAGAATAAATATTTGTTAAAATAGATAGGAGTGGCCATATGTAATACATATCAGAAAAATGTGACAAAATTCAGCTAATAGCTTTGGGTTTGGAGGAGTTCATCATCTCTCAAGCTTTCTTTTTGTGAACAAAATTATACAGTCAGGGCCCATCCAGTGCAAATACATACTCTCAGTTATCTATGCGCATCTCTGGTCACCTCTGGTTTCTGAACCCACATGGCACTATCCTTGAATTTCTGTACAAATTTCGCACTGCTACCAACGTAATCACATCTGTGATTACTACCATAGCAACAAAAAGACCACGTAACTCAAAAGACTCTCTTTGTCTTGGTCAGCATTACCACCAGTCTTACACTCTGTGCCTCTAGCAGTAGCTAATAGGTCATGTTCAAATATATGAATGTGTACCAGCAAGGTATGACTCGAGGTTCTTCTTGGAATGCATTAGTTGTGTTTAGTAGCATTGCACAGCCTTCATGTGAATGCAGGATGCAAAACCTATCTCACCACAGACAGTTCTACTCATATTCCAGATACTAATGTACTATTCCAGACACTAGATGTAACTAAGTGCAATAATCAAATTGGCTATGTTTGTATTAAAAACTATTTTCCTTGTGTACATCTCCCAAAGCAAGCAAAAAAACCCACCAAACCCCAAAACAAAACCAAGACTATACAGTTAGCCTCACAGAATGTTATAAATTCATTCCAGTTCTTGGGTAACTGTTGCTGGGGTGAATGTTTTTTGGTAGTCTTAATCTGAGCATTCTCAAGTAAAATCCAGGAGGTTTCTCAAATTGTTCCATATATGTCTGACAGACGTAAAATTATGACGTTTTATCTGTTCATCATCTTGGAGCAGTTGTTACAGAATCTGAATGTGTGATGAGATGTTCAATTATTACCCGATAATTATTTCAAAAGTATAATTGTTTTATAGAACGACAGTTCAGATAACTAATAATGTGAGGGAAAATTCAACTGCTTCCCACATAAACTGCTTTCTCACTACGGGATTATGTCCTGTGCTTGCAACAACATTCATCTGTTTTGCTGGAGAAGTTGGTAGAACTAGATGGTAGACTAATGCCTAAATCATAAGAGTAGAATGAGATTCTTTGGAACTACCAGTTCATTTCTTAGCAGTGATCACTTGATCTACTGAAGTCTGATGACAGCAGTATAGTTGCTGCTTCACTTCTGATTTGCTCTGCTTTCAAAACTCATGATCTTCAACAGAAAAAGCCTGTATTTCACAGGAATGTGACACTTGCTGTAGGGAGTGGTGTCACACTCCTCCCTCTCCTCTCTTGTGTGGGTGGGTTGCTGCTGCTCATCACCATGAGGTAGTCAGACCTCAGCGTTCTGTGCCGTAATTAACAAGGCATTAATGCTACCCAATACTCATTCGTTGCTAAAATCTGGTTTCCTTCTGGGCAAGTATGAGTGTTTATGGTGTTGGCAGTTCCAGGTTGCTCATCCTGTTGGAAATTCAACTAGCAGTAGTAGAAGATGATATTTATTTCATCATAAATCCTGCCTGTGATTGACCAGGTGCCTATTAACATTTGAGTATGAATTGCACCAACAGATAGAGAATAAGAGACTTGTGAAAAGTGTGGAAATCCTGCCATTTGGTATTTGTTGCTTCTCTGTTCTTTTTCCACTCTCTACAGGAATGGGAAAAACCATAATTGTAACTTTAAAAATCAGACAAAGATTATATAAATGTTTTGCTTTCAATACTTCTTTGTCAGATAATGGAGGTCTCTGGTCTACCCCAGGGACTACAACCAGATTTTAATTATGAGAAGAAATGTCATACGTGCTAAAGGCAATTTCATGGTGTAAAATTAGAGGACTCCATACAAACCCTTGTATGTTTTGGAAGCCAGAAAATTGAAATGCTTGAAAGCCACTGGCATAAATTAGCGCACAATTCACCTTAAAGTTGAAAACATTTTAAAATGAGACAGATCAACAGTGTAGAACAGATATACTGAAGTTTAAATTAGGATCACACATTCAATTATTACCTATTAATACTTTAAGCTAACTTTATATTTGTATATTGTAAGTGGATAATAAATAACTTTAAAATCCATCATTTCAATCCCTTAACTATTAAAACAGACTACCCAAAGCACAATCACACTAATGGAGTAATCTCAGTTGTGTACTCTATTGCAGGCTATATTTGCAATGATCAGTGTTGTCCTCCCTGCAGTGTCCATGCATATTTTACTTGATATTACCTACATTTAATACAATAGCTGATACTTACATATATATGTATATATCTGAGCTAAAAATTAATCAGAGAACTAACTCCTTAGGTCCACATAGCACTAGCTGGTGTAAATTTGAGGCAAACACCAGAAAAATAATGGGAAGTTACCCACCTTCTACAGCATATTGCCCACTTTCATTACTTCATTTAGTTCTGCAGTTAACGGTGGTGGTCCTGCCTGTGGCACACCTGGGGACAACATCATGTGGCGTCTGCTCTGTTATTCATTCATAACAACCTAATTAGAAGTTCTGGCAGCAGAGAGGCAGCAAATCATAGTAACATTCTGTAATAACCCTTGTCCCTGGGATAGGGCACACCCAAAACTTCCTCTATGTTACACAGCAGACACCCCTACTTTAATCCACAGGAGCAGTTTTCTGAGCAAGTGGTATTTGTTTGCTGAGCCTCTTTTAGCAGCCTTTTGTAGCAGATGAGGTGGTTTAGATTGGCTTTGAATTTTAAAATCTATTTGTTCCCATTTGTTTTGGTGACTTAATAGCTGAATATCACTACTTTGTAGAAATTAACCTGTCTAATTCTTCCCTTTTTTAAGGGTAGAGAACATGGCCATGCGACTGGAAGAAGTAAATGAGCGAGAGCACTGCATGAAGGCCTCTCTCCAGACTGTTGACATCAGGCTTGCTCAGCTGGAAGATATGATGGGACGAATGGTGACTGCCTTAGAAAAACTAACCGGCATAGAGAGAGGTGAGACGACCAAGATACGATCCAGGACCTCATCCGACTGTACTGATGCAGCCTACATTGTGAGGCAGAGTAGCTTCAATAGTCAAGAAGGAAATACTTACAAACTTCAAGAGAGCATAGATCCCACAGGAGAGGAGTCCATGTCCCCAACATCTCCTACGATCACACCCCGCATGCGAAGCCACTCTTTCTATGCAACAAATATGAAGGATAAGTGCGGGCTGGAAAAGTTTGAAAGCATTTTTAAGGAAAGATCTCCAAGCCTGCATCGGGCTATCAGTTCACACTCGATAGCAAAAGAAGGAAAGGTTCCCTTAGCTCCTACCAGCACTTTGTCAATTGCCCCAGACTCCAGAAGGCCTTCGTCTTGTATAGACATCTACGTTTCTGCCATGGATGAGATGCATTCTGACACAGAGCCTCTTGACAGCTCCATAAATATTCTTGGTACAGGAGATGCAGCTCTGCAGGCTCATTTAGCCTCTTCCATTTTAGCTAACAGTGCATACATTAGCAGCACACCTGGTGAAAAAATTTCTGGCAGGAGTCTTGATTATGAGGAAACCTCTGGAATAGAAACAAGAGCATTTTCTTCAGACTATTCGCAAATCACAGATTGCCAAATCCCCTGGGATTCAGACCCTCCCTTGTATCACACTTTAGAGCGATCTAAAAGCAGTCGCTATCTGGCTACAACTCCATTTATTTTGGAGGAAACGCCAATTGTGAAATCTCACAGTTTTATGTCTTCTCCATCTCGAAGCTATTTCAGTAGCCTTGGCATCCCAGTCAAAACAGCAGAGTACACAAGTATTACAGACTGCATAGATACGAGATGTGTGAGCGCTCCTCAGGCCATCGCAGAGAGGGCCAGTTTCCCTGGGAGTCTCGGGGGCAAAGTGGAGGACTTGGGATGCTGCCACCCAGAGAGAGAAGCTGAACTAAGCCACCCAAGCTCTGATCATGAGGATATTGAGGCCAAAGACAAGAAGGGCATCCCCTTATCTCCTCAAGACGGCAATGCTACAAGAACTCTGCCCAATAGCATCCCACTTCCAAAAATAGAGCGGGCCAACAGCTACTCTGCAGAGGAGTCCAACATGCTGTATGCACAGCACACGCGGAAGAGCTACTCTATCAGCGACAAACTTGACAGACAACGAAACTCGACAGGCCCGCGAAACCCCTTCCAGAGGAGTAAGTCCTCGAGGCCAGAGAGCAGAGGGGACAACCTGTCCATGAGGAGACTGTCAAGAATGGGAGCCTTCCACAGCTTTGAAAGCAAGCACAGCTAGGCCTAGACAAAGTTCACCAGCAGTCTAACAGTCATGTGCTCTCCAGTCCATTTTTCTTAGCAGAATTTTTAAAAAGCCCTCATGTCACCTTGTGTCAACTCCAGTTGGCATTAGCCACCAGTCAAGGGAGCACATTGTCAGTCTCAGCATCACCCACTGAGTTACTGCATCTTGACCCAGTTGACATTTGCACTTAAGCAAAAAGGGAGGGATGAAAGCTTTACAAAGACTTCAGCAAAGAAGAGGAATAACAAGCCCCCTTTATGGAGTCACAAGAAATAAAAGAGTAGGCTCTGAAATCTGCCTTTTATTAGAAGGCATCCTAAGATCTTTGATCATTATTCAAGTTTTTAGGATGCAGGAATTAACTAGCAAAAAGAGAGGTACAAATTAGGTGTTCTAAACTTCAGTCACAAACTTCTTTTTCATCTGTTTCACCGTTGTGATGACTGATGAAAAGCATTTGTTATTTCTGTAGGAACTGGCAGCAAAGAAACCTGAATTCTCCCAAATCCCTTGCATCCCACACTTGTGGATATGAACAGGATAACAACCACAATGTTCACTTGTCTGTTTTTGTATCAACTTTTAGTGCCACAAAAAGTTTATATTTTCACGAGCAGAAAGGGAAATTAAATGCTTTTTGTACTGCAACTTAAATGGAAGAAGGATTTATGTTAAAATATCGGGTGATTTCCTGTATAAAACAGGCATTCTAGATTCTAGCACAGCTGAGCAAGCTCAGGATGAATGTAATTAAATGGAATAGTATATATTTATTTTTTTACCACATTTGTCATCAATATGTTGTCTCACTACATCAAAGGATGTGACGGAACAGTAAGAACGGGGTGATCAGAGCAGAGCACAGTAATATTGTCCGGTTCTCACTGCTCCATTTAATTATGTATACAAACTGGGGAGACTTATCCACTAGGCTGCTACCAGGCTCTTCTTGCTGTTCCATTTGAGCTGCCGATTCTTCACATCATTCCCTCACCTAAAAATATACACCTTTTTTTCTTTTCCATGAGGACATGGCCATATTTGAACATTTCAAAGTATACAAGATTTATCAAGCAGTCTTAATCCAGATTAATGCAATTAGTCTGAAGATCCTTAAGGGAAAATGTTCTTGACAGAGGACTGGAAAACACTAAAAAAGAATATATGCTTTTAAGGTAAGTCAAGAACCAAAGGGCAACCGCAGGTGTCTGTAAACAGCAAAAGCCATTAGCTGTTACTAGGCTTCCGTTCAGCAGCGTATCACACAACATGCATTTTAGTAGGAGAAAGTATATCTGAACGGTAGTGCAGCTACAGGTTTTAGTTGAAGACAGTCAAAACTCCACTGACCCCCACCCACGTTCCAAGGGTTCACAATGTCAACCAGAGTTTCAAGCTTCTCATGAGAAGATATCACAATGGTTACAGGTGGAAGGGTGGACAAAAGGTAAGAAACAGGTGGAGAAGCAAAAACTGCATCAAAATTTCACATCCTTTATGAAGGCACAACTTTTAAGCTTGTAAAGAGCTGAAGCTAGTGCTATTAAAAATTAAAACATCTCTACAGTGACCAACACCTGTGTGGACCCAGCTCCTTTTTGTTATTAAAAACAAACACATGCGAGTGAGGTTCATACTTCCCATTATTCAGATGGGAATTAGCTTCCAAACCTCTAAGGCAGCTTTGAAAATGCAGGCTGACATTTTCTCACTGGGATCTCACCGTTGGAAACTCTGAGTACCATAAGAGAGCTAAGTCTGAAAGGCAACAAATCCAGACATAAAAATAATCATCAGCCTCAAGAAAAGAGGCAAGGAAGGTGAAAACATTTAGGTACTGAGTCACTGCGTTGGAAAGTTCAGGAGATAAAGAAATGCAGCATGGGGACTTCAAGCACAATGTGTTTCATGCTTCCTGCACCAACGTGTTCCTTGCTTTCTTCTATTTGATCAGGCTTTCAGTGAGCTAAACTCCACGAAGACACCATGTTTATGCAATTGCCTTGCGGTCCATGTGCAGCATTACAGTCACATGGCAACACCGAGAAAGGTCAGAAACCTTTCTGTGCATTATGAAGCATGCTTGTGACAGGCTGATTGTTGAACTATAGCAAAATGCCCAGGGGCAAAGGAACTTTTGTTTAACAATCTGCTTCAAATGTGCCAACTTTTGTTTGCAGCCTTTTTTAAGGCTTCTCCAAATCTATCTATCCTTGGTGAGTAGAGGGGGATATTCTCACATTGTTTTCTTTGTTACTTTTACGAATGTCTGCTAAAACTGTTCATGGACTCTTCCACCATCACCATATTACTGGCCTACTCTAGAGGAACTTCAGCTTCATTAGAAATCCCTCAACAGCTCTTAGTGAATTAGTTCAAAGCATAGGGCTCTCCTCTGGGGTACATTTCATTGCTTAGTTTGTCAGGGTAAAGGAAATTGCCAAACCCAGAAGCTGTATAAATGTTTAGGATACAGCACTTTACTGATCTGGAGCACACATTCCAGGTAAAATGAAATAGGACACTTTATTTACCTCTTAAAATTTGCCATTATATATAAAATGTAAATTCAGATGTTAAAAGTGTGATTGCAAGGCTTGAGAACGCTACTTTTGCTGAATGTTTCCCATTTATTCTACAATGTGGTCTCTATAGAATATATTATGATGGGTGTTAGATTATTTTATCTTCACCTGGTTTTTACACATTGTATCAAACTGTTCCTTCTTGAATTTGATGGTAAAACACCCATTCCTTGCAATGGGACCAGATTTCCCACTCTGATATTATTATGACCATTTAGTGAGAGTAGAAGTCTTATCATCCATCATCATGTACCTATAGCATGTGCCATATGACAAATTCTGTATCAAAGGATAGCTTATGAAGTAGATATATGTACACACACATATATATATCTCCCAAATATAAACTGGTATAGTTGTGACATGTGGTAATATTAGTGAACGTTACAGTACAGTTTTAATATCACATTATAAGGTCTTTTTTGTAAATCTGTAACATTCAATAAAATAGCACATGTTGCATCGAGCATTAAGTTCCACTATCCAATTATTAGCTTACATATGGAATATGCATTTCTGGTCACAGTGTGTAAGTTTGGTATGTTTCACACATTTCTCTGTATAGCGCCACTTAAATGTCTGTATGAGCTGATGTATAAACCTCTAATGAGCCACTGTGGGCTGTGACAGGTGAGTTGTGATAGTGTGAAAGATGAACTGGCATGTTATGCAAAAGATTATAAGATAATTGAACTTTAATACTATTTTGAAACTCAACTGAACTTAGCTGTTTGTTTACATATGCTGGCCAACTGAGGAAGCTGTGTACAGTATTTTATAAATATTTTCCTATAGTAATCTGTTCTATTGTTTCCAGTTTAAGTGATGCTATTCTACAGTTGGGGTATATACTTGTCCTAGGTATTGGATTACAGCACATTATTCTTTCACAATAACAGTGTGATATGACTGAAGTAGTTTCTCTTCCTTACAGTCCAGACTTTTTTTGTGTCAATGAAAATGCATGCATTGTTCCATGAGTTTCTTTGGACTACTATGAGACTTAACATTTTGCTACTGCCTGCCTGGCAAGATGAATCCAGTTAGGAATGAATTGAAGCTTTTCAATGTTTACATTATTTCCATTATGTTTGATCTTTAGCAAAGTACGTGATTTTTTTATTATTTTTAAATGACAATTGTATTTTATGAAATTGAAATATTCAACACAAAATGCGAACCTACAGCAGTGCTCAGACATTTGGCTCTCTCTTTTTTTGGAAGAGATAAGGTGCTACATTATTGTTCTTAGCACAAGTGCCAGTTAACAAATGGCAGTGAGGGGATAATTTGAAAATATAATAATGAAAAACCAAAACATGCATTCATCCACATAAGGAAATCCCTCTGGGTTCCAGATATAGATTGTTTTTTTTTTTCATTTTCCATTTATAGATTTTTTGGTAAAAAAAAAAAAAAAACTGATTTGTACCTTTTGTGGAATGGATAGTCTTTTGTCAGGGGATAAATATCTTAGTTAGGTATATTTTTTGTATGAGAAGAATATGATCTGTTTCTTAGAAACTGTCAGCGCATGGAAAATGCAACTACACAAATAACTGCTCAAAAAAAGTGCTGGTAGCAGCACACTGCCTTAGTCCAATGACTGCAGTCAGAGCAAACAAGTATCTGTCCTGAGAGCAGAAGTTATCAAAGTTATTAGCTTAGAGTGAGCCAGTGAAACAAAATTATCTGTAAATTCATGGTGCAAATTTTCAAAACAAGCATAAATATCTTGTTGTGTTGCTCAGGTTATATACTTAAGAGGATCTGATAATCACCAGGAGGGAAAATGTGAGCTGGTCGTTCCTTGTTTTCCATAGGAATGCTTAAGTAGTTGTGATGTCTCTCCCCTGCTTAAAAATAATAGTATATTTGCATTTTTGCACAAATATGCACAATTGTTTCAACAAAGGCCACATTTTTGGTTATGCTAAAAGATACGAGGTATAGCTCACCTTCTTCAAAATAAATGGGAAATCTTCCTAGCATGAATTTTCCCTCATCCACCTCAAATAACTGCACAGTCCAAACTGGGCAGAAGTAAAGTGTTGGGGGTGTCCTCATACCTGACGAAACCCTTCATTCCTCTAGATGTTATTCCCTGGCCTGGCCACATGTTGGCACAAAAGCAGTAGCATTTAATGTCCAAGGACTGACCTTCTGCATCCCAGTGAGCGTTATCCTGCTTTACAGCCAGTCACAGAGTGAACATGAACACTACATGTTACAGAGGCTTTTCTTCTCCGAGATTGACTACGATTATGGTCTTAGTGATGCTAGTGCAAATCTACAGAAAATCCACTGATTTCAATGGAGCACTCTGACTCTTGTCAGAGGATGGATTTATTCTGCATTTCTAACTCTACGTAATTTAAGAGTCATGGCACAGATTATCCTAAATCATCA